GGTGTGCAGGACATTTATTTAAAGCTGTTGATCTATTTAAAACTTGCTGATGTAGAAGTATTCAGACACATCATGTTCTTTCCCAATTACGCTGTAAGTTTATCAGTTTTGGGTACTAGGTGCCTGTCACACTGGATAATGTCCATTTTAAGTGGAAATGTTAGTATGATGACCTTTGAGAATATGAAGTAAAACCTGTACACATCAGAAAAATATAAAATAGAATTATTCTTTTTGCCAATGGGTGTTAGGCCCTATCCTGAAATAAAGTGGTCAGAGTATGTGTGAGAGGTGAATTAAACACATCTTCTTTTTTGATCAGAGTATACCTGAGGTGGTATTCTCTTTATTCTCTCTTTTGTTTGTTGGTTAAGGTAGCCTTTATTCTTTGTGTCACTTTTGGGAGATTTCCATTTCGTAATCAGGTACGTGTTTCCTCTAGAGGAGCTGGTCTGCCTAGCTTAAATCAGTATGGTGAGGTGCAAAGTAGCCCTGTGTTTTCCTGAATGGATTTACTCTGCCCATATGGCAGGTTAGTGAGCCGCCACGACAGATTTGTAATGGGAAAAGGGCTGTGCAGGAGAGGATGTGCGTGATCAGCAGATTTATAGATCAGAAAATGAAATCAGAAGAAAGAATTTCCAGAGTGCCCTTTTCATTTGACAGCTCTCCATGGAGAGGATGTGGAATGGTTTTTTAGTGTTCGTCTCTTTTGGCTTTTGGTTGTTCCAGCATATTTTTTAGCACAGGAGTTGATTTTGCAAGGCATCAGTGTTCTGGGTGCGGTGTTGCTATATTCCTATTTACAGAAATAATTCTCTCTTTGTAGGATTTGAAGCTCTGCTGTATTTCATATGATAAGATCTCGGTAGCAATTAAATTCCTGAAGACACATCAAAGCTAAAATGGGGATCTGCCAGGCATCAGGTTTTAAGTTACAAGAGGAGGCTATTCAGATACAATTTAGCTAGTACCAAATCTTTCAAAGGAAAGAAAACAAAAAGAAAAGCAAAGCAAGCTAAAGATAGTGTGTCCTGGTGTATGTAAGTCTGTGCTGTCTCAATATAATTCCACAGCCACTAGCCACATGTGACTTTAAATTAAAATTAATTAAAAGTTCAGCCCCTCAGTCTCACTAGCACATTTCAAGCGCTCAGTAGTCACATGTGACTGGTTACTACAGTACTGGACAGCACTGTAATAAATACAGATAGAGAATATTTTCAATAATATTTGATAATATCAATTATCTATCTGTACACATTCTCTGTTCTCAATATTATCAATGATATATATTGACTGATCAATGATATATAAAGGATATAAAGATATATATATAAATTATAATATTGATATCCCTCTCATTGATATATAGAGAATATATCATTGCAGAAAGTTCTATTGGGCAGTATTAGTCTAAGTGGAAGAATTGGAGAAATAAAATTCTTTCTTTGATTTCTATGAAGAGTCTTTCATCCCTATATAATTTACTGGATTAATGGACTAAGGTTTTAATGTGCAAAAGAATCATCTATACAGCTTGTTTAAGTTGGAGATTTTAGAAGCCTCTCCAGATTCAGATTCCTCAGGACTGGAGTAGTAAGCAAGAAATCTGTATATATAACAAGTAGCCTGGGGAATTCAGATGTTGGTAGGTAGTTCAGGGACTAAATTTTGAAAGAATATTAAATTAGTGAGAAACTTGGGAATTGCCTGTATCTTGATTTTTTTTTCCCTCCTCTTCATTCCTTCATTACTTTCTTTTGTGTCCCCAGGAATTAGTTGTAAGCATCAGTGTGTACTCAATTTGCATCCTCAGTTGGTATTAAGTAGCAAAAAGAAAATTCATTTATTTACCATTCCATCTTTTAATGTATGTGTGTTTTGATTTGGCTGTGCAGTAAGAAAAGTCAACAAAAATGGTTATTTCAGGACTATTCCAGACAGTGCCAGAAGGTAATTCTGACAGAATACTTTTGACCACCAAGAGTGGAACACCCAGAAGTCTTGGCATTATAAGGGGGTAAGGGTATAAAAACAGAAATATACATAATCTCCTCTCTGAAGATTACAATATTCCCCCATAGGGGATATTTTTCAAGACTCCTCGTGGATGCCTGAAACCACAGATAGTACCAAACCCTATGTATACTATGTTTTTTTCCTGTACATACATACCTATGATAAAGCTTAGTTTATAAATGAGGTATAGTAATTGATTAACAATAACATGATAAAATAGAACAATTGTAACAGTATACTGTAATAAAAATTATGGGAATGTGGTTTCTCAGAGTATCTTACTGTACTGTACCACAGGTAACTGAAACCTTAGAAAGTGAAACCATGTATAAGGGGAGACTACTGTATATCTCATTAGAAAAGTGGGTAAACACATCCAGAAAAATTACCTAAAGGGCGCTTAGCAATAAGAAAATCATGATCTGGCTTGATTGAGAGTAGTGTAGGTCACGTCCCTTTGTATGATTTGAGGGTTTCTTATACAAAGACATGCCTCTGCCATCTGGAAAAGGCAATAAAAAAGGGAAGAATCTCTAATTTGGTCCTGCAGTATATTTATTTATTTATAGGTTTTGGCATACATAAATAGGACTAGGCCCAAAAAAGCATCTGGAAAATTAAAGGGGCTACTCAGAGTACATTGGATTTAGAACTTTTCTGGGTTGATCTCATAATCATGAAACTGCATTTGTCACAGAAATCAAAAGTAGAGAATAAATGGAGGTGAAATAAATTCACTTTGAAAGAGGAACTACCTTTAGGGAATTTAATTATTTATTTATTTATTTTTTTGAGACGGGGTTTCGCTCCTGTCGCCAGGCTGGAGTGCAGTGGCGCAGTCTCGGCTCACTGCAAACTCTGCTTCCCAGGTTCAAGCAATTCTCCTGCCTCAGCCTCCCGAGTAGCTGGGATTACACGCATGTGCCGCCATGCCTGGCTGATTTTTTGTATTTTTAGAAGAGATGGGGTTTCTTCATGTTGGTCAGGCTGGTCTTGAACTCCCAACCTCAGGTGATCTGCCTGCCTTGGCCTCCCAAAGTAGTGAAATTACAGGCATGAGCCACTGTGCCTGGCCTTATTTGTTTATTTATTTTTATTTATTTATTTTTGAGACAGAGTCTCACTCTGTCCCTGAGGCTGGAGTGCAATGGTGTGATCTCAGCTTACTGCACTCTCTGCCTCCTGGGTTCTAGCGATTTTCCTGCCTCAGCCTCCCAAGTAGCTGGGACTACAGGTGCCTACCACCACGTCCGGCTAATTTTTGTATTTTTTTTTTTTTTTTTTTTTTTTAGTAGAGACGGGGTTTCACTATGTTGGTCAGGCTGGTCTCGAACTCCTGACCTCAGGTGATCCACCCACCTTGGACTCCCAAAGTCCTGGGATTACAGGTGTGAGCCACCACGCCTGGCCTTTTTTTTTTTTAAATTACTTTTAAGAGATGAGGCCAGGTGTGGTGGCTCGGACCTGTAATCCTAATACTTTGGGAGGCTGAGGCAGGAGGATCACTTGTTCCCCTAAGTTTAAGACCAGCCTGTGCAACATACACCCCCTCTTTTTATTTTTTTTTGAGATGGAGTCTTGCTCTTGTCGCCCAGGCTAGAGTGCAATGGCACGATCTCGGCTCACTGCACCTTCCACCTCCCGATTTCAAGCAATTCTCCTGCCTCAGCCTCCCGAGTAGCTGGAATTACGGGTGCCTGCCACCATACCTAGCTAATTTTTGCATTTTTTTAGTAGAGATGGGGTTTTGCCATGTTGGCCAGGCTGGTCTGGAACTCCTTACCTCATGATCTGCCTGCACTGGCCTCTCAAAGTGCTGGGATTACAGGCATGAGCCACTGTGCCCAGCCTCATAGACCCTATCTCTATAAAAAATAAAATTAGCTGGGCATGGTGGCATGCACCTATGGTCTCAGCTACTCTAGAGGCTGAGGTGGGAGGATTACTTGAACCCAGGAGGTAGAGGCTGCAGGGAGACAAGATCACACCACTGCACTCCAGCCTGGGTGACAGAGTGAGACCTTGTCTCACAATATATAAATATATAAGTAAATAGATAGATAGATAGAGTAGATAGGTAGAAAGAGGTCTGTGTTGGCCAGGCTGGTCTCGAACTCCTGGCCTCAAGCAATCCTCCCACCTTAGCCTCCCAAAGTGTGCAAGCCACTGTACCTAGCCTAGGGAATTTTAAGTTCTGGTATTGAGGGAAAACGCCTTCAAAGTTTCAAAGATATAAAAATTTTCTTTTAAAATAGTTGTATAGCTTCTTTCCCTTGGAGAAATTGCCCACAAGGCTTCTCTGATGAACAATACTGAAGAAGCATTGTTGGGAATAGAAAAAAATAAACATGCTTAGGATGTTACCACTGTTTTAATATATATATTTTCATATTACATATATATATATATGTATATATAGCTGGAAGATTTGTTGGCTTTTTGTTGTTATTTCGGTAGTTTGGTTAACTATTATAATACCAGTAGCCACTTTACCTTTTGTCCTAAGTCAGATTTGTCCAATTCTTTACTTACCTATCCTTTCAGGAAAGAAGGTAAGTTTTCCCACCCTTACTGCAAGATGCAGATGTGCTTTTCAAAAAGACAGATGTTGGCTGGGTGCGGTGGCTCACGCCTGTAATCCCAGCACTTTGGGAGGCTGAGGCAGGAGGATCACTTGAGGCTAGCTCAAGACCAGTTTGGGCAACATAGTGAGACCTGCCTCTAAAAAACAGGCCGAGCCTGGTGCCCCATGCCTGTAATCTCAGCACTTTGGGAGGCTGAGGCAGGTGGATCACCTGAGGTGAGGAGTTTGAGACCAACCTGGCCAACATGGTGAAACCCCATCTCTACTAAAAATACAAAAATTAGCTGGGTGTGGTGTTGCGCGCCTGTAACCCCAGCTACTCTGGAGGCTAAGGCAGGAGAGTCGCTTGAGCCTGGGAGGCAGAGGTTGCAGTGCGCCAAGATGGCGCCACTGCACTCCAGCCTGGGCAATAAGAGTGAGACTCCGTCTCAAAACAAAACAAACCCACATATACCATGTTTCTTAACCACGTCTCATAAAAATGATACTTTGTACTGTTGAGGACTTTCTTTTTCTTATTTTTACCTTATATCCTCATATCTCTGCTTTGCATTACATTGCAACCAACCTAAAACTGACTTTTTTTATTGGAGGCGCTTCGTCTCTCTTACTGGTATGTGACACACCATAAAGTTTCAAATTTGTGCTAACCCTTCCATATGATACTTCTTTTTAAGTAATTTAACTGTCCTGTAATTCTTCGCCTTTATACCAAATGTGCCTTTTTTTTTTTTTTTTTTTAACTTTCAAAGGAACCAATTTGGAATTGAAAATAAATGAATCTAGAGTTGAAATACCAATTGCAAGCCTTTTTGTATTTTTTTTTTTTTTTTAGGAAAATGTTTTTTCTGAAAGTGTTTTCCTTTTCTTTTTTGGGGACTCTGTCATGCCAGGTTGAGAGAGTGGCGACTTCTATAAGACATGGATAGATGCAAACATGTAGGGCGGTTACGGCTCGCCCAGGACCACTCCATCCTGAACCCTCAGAAGTGGTGCTGCTTGGAGTGTGCCACCACCGAGTCCGTGTGGGCCTGCCTCAAGTGCTCACACGTGGCCTGTGGCCGATACATTGAGGACCACGCCCTGAAACACTTTGAGGAGACTGGACACCCGCTAGCCATGGAAGTCTGGGATCTCTATGTGTTCTGTTACCTGTGCAAGGACTACGTGCTCAATGATAACCCGGAGGGGGACCTGAAGCTGCTGAGAAGCTCCCTCCTGGCGGTCCGGGGCCAGAAGCAGGACCTGCCGGTGAGACGCGGGCGGACGCTGCGGTCCACGGCTTCGGGCGAGGACGTGGTCCCGCCGCAGCGCACTCCTCAGGGACAGCCGCAGATGCTCACGGCTCTGTGGTACCGGCGCCAGCGACTGCTGGCCAAGACGCTACGGCTGTGGTTCGAGAAGAGCTCCCGGGGCCAGGCGAAGCTGGAGCAGCGGCGGCAGGAGGAGGCGCTGGAGCGCAAGAAGGAGGAGGCACGGCGACGGCGGCGCGAGGTGAAGCGAAGGCTGCTGGAGGAGCTGGCCAGCGCCCCTCCGCGCAAGAGTGCCCGGCTGCTCCTGCACGCGCCCCGCGACGCGGGCCCGGTCGCCACACGCTCCACTGCCCTTCCTACCTCACGCAGAGCATCCGCTGCTGCGCTCAAGCTGCGTCGCCAGCCTGCTGTGGCCCCGGGCGTCACGGGCCTGCGCAACCTGGGCAACACCTGCTACATGAACTCCATCCTCCAGGTGCTCAGCCACCTCCAGAAGTTCCGAGAATGTTTCCTCAACCTTGACCCTTCCAAAACGGAACATCTGTTTCCCAAAGCCACCAACGGGAAGACTCAGCTTTCTGGCAAGCCAACCAGCAGCTCAGCCACGGAACTGTCCTCGAGGAGTGACAGGGCCGAGGTGTGCGAGCGGGAGGGCTTCTGCTGGAACAGCGGGGCCTCCATCAGTCGGAGCCTGGAGCTCATCCAGAACAAGGAGCCGAGCTCAAAGCACATTTCCCTCTGCCGTGAACTGCACACCCTCTTCCGAGTCATGTGGTCTGGGAAGTGGGCCTTAGTGTCGCCCTTTGCCATGCTTCACTCAGTGTGGAGCCTGATCCCTGCCTTCCGTGGCTATGACCAACAAGACGCTCAGGAGTTTCTCTGCGAGCTGCTCCACAAAGTGCAGCAGGAGCTCGAGTCTGAGGGCACCACACGCCGCATCCTCATCCCCTTCTCCCAGAGGAAGCTCACCAAACAGGTCTTAAAGGTGGTGAATACCATATTTCATGGGCAGCTGCTCAGTCAGGTATGTGTGTGCCTACCATGACAGTGGAAGCTTATATGTTAGCTTGGGCTTCCTATGAGTGCCTGTCCCGGGTTATTGGGCTAATAAGAGTAGCCAACATTTGCTGTGATTATGCATTTTTGAGAGTGGTCATTTGTACCTTTCATTCTACTGTACACATGATGATCTTATGGGGAAAATTGCCTAGTGTCTTTCCAGCCAGATTTTTAGTTTAACTTGCCACATCGCTATATTTTCAGTGGATATATTTAACTGCTATTGAAGGTATGGGCAATATCATATTCTCATTGCTATAATTAAGTACCCATTGTTGGTGTGCCATCCTTTGATCAATTTTAGGGAACAGAGTTTGCCTGTAACCCTGGTTCCATAATAGTTTGAAAGAGTAATCTCCCTTCTTTACATACAAGGAAGGATGGTAGCTGAGAACGTGGTAAAGGCCAATGCAAGCCTCCTTCCTGTTCCCTATTACTTTTTATCTCCTGGATTTTTAGCCATATAACCTAGGCAAAGATTCTTAGATAAGGCCTTGAGGGAATATGCAGAAAGAGTATTTTTATAGTTAAAAAAGGCAGGTGTGCCGGGCACGGTGGCTCACGCCTGTAATCCCAGTGCTTCAGGAGGCCAAGGTGGGTGGATCACCTGATGTCAGGAGTTAGAGACCAGCCTGACCAACATGGTAAAACCCTGTCTCTACTAAAAATACAAATTAGCCGGGCGTGGTGGCACATGCCTGTAATCCCAGGTACTTGGGAGGCTGAGACAGGAAAATCACTTGTACTCAGGAGGCGGAGGTTGCAGTGAGCTGAGATTGCACCACTGCACTCCAGCCTGGGTGACAGAGGAGGACTCTGTCTCAAAAAATAAAGGGGGGAGGGGGTGGGGTAATGGTTGGTGGGCAACTTAAGAGAATCAGGTTAAAACCTCTACCCTATGCTTGTGTCTTGGTTTTTAGGGTTTTGAAAGAATGATGAATGGGATGGAAAGGGAAAGCTTAATTAGGCTTTTGTTTTTGAGCATGTAAAAGGGGGGTATTTATCAGCACTTCTTCTGTCTCCCCTCCCCTCAGGAAGAAAGGTGCACCTGGGAAGGCTATAGTGGGAGTGAAGGTCTAATCACAGCACTTTGAGGCTCTGCAGACAGAGGGGTTCAGTGTAGGGCTTCTGCAAGAAACAAAGGCAAAAAGAGAGCCATGCTGGGCTGCATAGAAGGTCTAAAGTCAAGAGGAGGAATGCCAGAGTGGGGGAAGCAGGCAGGGACCTGCAAATTCTCTATATTAGACTGATCCCTTGAATGAATGCACAATAACTTGCAGTCTGTACTACTGTACTGTTGAATGGTAGAGCATACTTGGGAGAGGAGAATAGAAAAGAGGGGTTGGTATAATCTCTATGCAGTATGGTTTTTAAATTCCAGCTAGCATCCCATAGTTACAAATATACATCAGAAGTAATATACTCTAATTCTTTTAAAGTTATATTTACTATTTTAATATTACTGTTTTTTGCAAATTATATACTTAGTTTTGATAAAGTGTGTCTTTTATGAAGTAAGTAAAGCTGTATGCAGGAAGCATGGAAATTCTATAATCTGTAAATCAATCTTTTCATTCTAGGTCACATGTATATCATGCAATTACAAATCCAATACCATTGAGCCCTTTTGGGACCTGTCCCTGGAATTCCCTGAACGCTATCACTGCATAGAAAAGGGGTTTGTCCCTTTTAATCAGACAGAGTGCTTGCTCACTGAGATGCTGGCCAAGTTCACAGAGACAGAGGCCCTGGAAGGGAGAATCTACGCTTGTGACCAGTGTAACAGTGAGTGCTGTGTGGAGGAGGGGGTGTAGTGGGGAAGTATAACTGGAATATCAGTTTAAGGTGCTGCTTTGTCCCCTTTAGTCAAAAGTAACACTAATGATATTGAATGGTTCTAAAGCATCTTTTAAAGATCTTTTTCTCCCATTTTTCTAAAAACAAAAACATGGACTTGTTTAATTATGTATTAAAAAACAAAACACGCCGGGTGCGGTGGCTCAAGCCTGTAATCCCAGCACTTTGGGAGGCCGAGGTGGGTGGATCACGAGGTCAAGAGATCGAGACCAACCTGGTCAACATGGTGAAACCCCGTCTCTACTAAAAAAAAATACAAAACATTAGCTGGGCATGGTGGCGCATGCCTATAATCCCAGCTACTCAGGAGGCTGAGGCAGGAGAATTGCCTGAGCCCAGGAGGCGGAGGTTGCGGTGAGCCGAGATCGCGCCATTGCACTCCAGCCTGGGTAACAAGAGTGAAACTCCGTCTCAAAAAAAAAAAAAACAAAAAAAACAAAAAAACAAGGCCGGGCACGGTGGCTCATACCTGAAATCGCAGCACTTTGGGAGGCCGAGGTGGGCAGATCACTTGAGGTCAGGAGTTTGAGGCCAGCCTGACCAACACAGTGAAACCGTGTCTCTATTAAAAATACAAAAATTAGCTGAGTGTGGTGGCGGTTGCCTGTAATCCCAGCTACTTGGGAGGTTGAGGCAGGAGAATCAATTGAATCCGGGAAGCAGAGGCTGCAGTGAGCCACGATGGCGCCATTGCACTTCAGCCTGGGCAACAGAGCAAAACTCCATCTCAACAACAAAAAACAAACAAAGACCTAGGAGATGAGTGACCTCCTAATTGACCTTAGTTGTCTTCTTGGAAGGGATTTCAAAGTGTGGCTCCTGAAATGGGAACTCAGAATGTTATTTCTTAGCTTCTTAGTGCTACGGGGCTCCTGCTTAAATTCATGAATGTAGAGTCTGACAGTTCTTACTTAATCTAAACTCAGATGGTATAGCTTCTTTGAGGTGTGCAATATCAGAAAAGCATGCTTTTGGCCAGGTGTGGTAGCTCAAACCTGTAATCTCAGCACTTTGGGAGGCCAAGACGGGTGGATCACCTGGGGTCAGGAGTTTGAGACCAGCATGGCAAACCTGGCAAAACTCTTGTCTCTACTAAAAATACAAAAATTAGCTGGGCGTGGTGGCATGTGCCTGTAATCCCAGCTACTCAGGAGGCTGAGGCAGGAGAATCACTTGAACCTGGGATCGGGAGGTTGCAGTGAGCTGAGATTGTACCATTGCACTCCAGCCTGGGCAACAGAATGAGACTCTGTCTAAAAAAAAAGAAAGAAAAGCATACCTTTGTACTGAACTAGTAGATTTAATGTCTGTCAGGAGTGATGCTAAAGATTGGTACAACAGAACCAAGAAAGCAAGCCTTCAAGTGCTTTCTCAATGGCAGCTTCATGAAATATTTTCTGCATTTGTTTTTATATTCTTCACATGCCTGAAAAGTTCATATTTCAGAGAGGGTCATAAGGAAGTATTTCTGTGTCATGTCTGTAATTTTAAAGTGGAACTCTTTACATATGGTTACAGAGGCATGTTATACAGGGCCCTCTGTCTTGCCATACTAACACTTAATGCTTCTGCTAACCCAGCATGGACAGAGGAAATGCAGAGCAAATATGTGGCTGCTCATGTTTGGGGTTTGTGGCATATATAGATTTGGAAACTAAAAGTATAAAGTGAATGGATTGTGCAGAGACCTAGAAATCAATTTTCAGCTACATAATAGTTTAGATTACAGGTTTTGAAGAAAAAAAAATCTTAGGCCAGGCGTGGTAGGTCATGCCTGTAATCCCAGCACTTTAGGAGGCCCCAAGGTGAGCAGATTGCTTGAGCCCCAAAGTTCGAGACCAACCTAGGCAATATGTTGAAACCCCATCTCTACAAAAAAATGCAAAAATTAGCTGGATGTGGTGGCATGTACTTTTAGTCCCAGCTACTCAGAGGCTGAGGTAGGAGGATTGCTTGAGCCCCAGAAGTCAAGGCTGCAGGAACCTTGCCACTCTACTCCAGCCTGGGTGACAGAGTGAGATCAGATCTCAATACACACATACAAACACACACACACATATATATATACACACACACACATATATATATTAGCATTTCTTAATATATTTCACACACGGTTTTAAAAAATAGTAAATTGTGTGAAACGTGTTCTGCTCTTTGAAGAATCAGAACAAAAATCGAAAGTCAGGCTTGAGGCCAGGTGCATAGCTCACACCTGTAATCCCCACACTTTGGGAGGCTAAGGCATGAGGGTTGCCTGGGTAGCATAGCAAGACCTTGTTTAGGGAACACACACACACACACACACACACAGTTATGAGGGTTGCCTGAAGCCAGGAGTTTGAGAGTAGCCTGGGTAGCATAGCAAGACCTCATTAAGGGAAAAAAAACACACACACACACACACACACACACACACACACACACACAGAGTTATGCTTGATTTCATTTTGCCATTTGAAAACAAAATTTGAAATTTTATACCTGGTTAACTGTAGACTCACCTATTCTGTTCCATTTTGAGATACAGAGTCAGGTGAATCAAATTGTTTCATTAGAGTAATTTTTTTTTTTTTTAAATAGGGATTCATGAAGCCTTTAACTTGTAAGGAACAAAAGAATATTAACAGCTTTAATTCCATTTTTCGATATGATAGATTAGGCAAGAAACACTTTTGTTTATTTTTACAAGAAAGGATTGTTCTTCTGGTTGTCAGATGTGCCAATTTATTAGGATTTCTCTAGGCAAGTGCAAATAATGCCAGAGAAGGAAACCTATGGCGAAGGGATGAGATGCATTGATCTGTTGCCCGTGAAGTTTCAAAACTGTCAGTCTTCTACCTGTCTTCCTGGCCAGCTTAATCAAATGGAGACAGAACTGATCAATCTCAATCGAATCAGTAATTTCTTTTTCTTTGTGAATTTCATTTTAGGGAAACAAAGCCTAGCTATATTGTCTTCATCTTAGCTCACTTACTCCCTCTGCTGAGGGTGGCAGTCACTGCCAGGGTTCCTAGCCAGAGCTGCAATAATTTTCAAAAAAAAATGGTGAATTGGAATATAAAATAACGCCAAGCCCCTCTTTGAATTATATATCTGTTCATGCCCCCACATGTTGTGACTGCACACCCTGGTAAAAGCTTCTCCTATGGCACACTCATTCTGATGCAGTCTATTATAAGAAGCTATACCTCCACATCCTATTGTCACAGCTCTGCAATATATCATCTGGCTGTGATTTGCTACTTTTCGTGAGTAGTAGAGACAGGACTTGGTATCAGATGCTCAGCTCTTCCAACACTGAGCCCATGATATTAACAGCTCAAGACAATTAGCAGGGACTGCACTAACCACTAATTTTCTACTCTCATCCATTTACCAATTTAATGTAACAAAACAGTCATCAGTAAATGGTTACAGGGAAGGCTTCTGATAGAAAGTAAGATAACTTTATTTCCATTGTTTATTTGCTGAAGTTTAGAAATGCATTTCCTCAAGGCTAGGCATAGTGGGCTCACACCCACAATCCCAATACTTTGGGAGGCCAGGGTGAGAGGACTGCTTGAGGCCAGGAATTCAAGAAATGCATTTCCCCCACAGTTAGAAACAACATTAGAGACTGATCACTGGTTCTGCTTTGGAGCTGATAAATTTAGCCACCTGTCAGCATTGTCCTTGCATGTCCAGCAGTGTGCTTTTATCCAGCAAATGTGTTTCAAAAACTAGGCACAGCATAAAAACATAGAACCAACAAAGTTCATATTCTAAATATTTGAATATGCTATAAGCAAATCATGCTGAAGAAAAGATGTGTTTACATGCTCTATCCTTTAGTAATCTTATCCTTTTTTATCTTTTTCCTAAGCCTGAAATATATGCATTATTCCCTATTTTACTGGTGAGGAAACTGAGGTTCAGAGTTTTGAATAACTTATCCATTAGCACACAACTAGTTGTGAGCAGCAAGCAGAATTAGGCTTACCTAGTGCAAACAAAAAGCTTTTTCAAATCGTATTGTGGGGTATCATAATTGAAGTTATAAGCCATTGTGAAGACATGGAGCCTTAACATACGCTTCTACTCTATGTGCTTGCTGCTGCACATTCTATTATATTCCATCATATGCAAAGTTGCTGATGGCAAAAGTTTGAAAGATTGGATTGCTTCTAACAGCTGACCCAAATAACAATGACTTAAAATGAGAGATTTTATTTTTCTGTTACATAAAACAAGTCTGAAGGAGATTCAGGGCCAGCATGGTGGCTGCATGGTCATCAGTGACCCAAGCCATTTCTGTCTTTCTGTTTTACTATCCTATTGCAAGATTTCTGTCTTCAAAGTTACCTTTTGGTCCAGGAGGAATTCCAGTAGTTTCAGATAGCGGGCAGGCCAAAGGGCTGCACCTTACAACTGAGTCAGTCCTGTCTAAGCAGAGTGCCACATGGTCATTCCTTTCATCTTAGCCAGAACTTCTATGACCACACTATGCAGGCATGTGAAGCTGGGAAATGCAGAAAGAGGGTCACATTGTGCCCCAAATAAAATTGAGTTTCAGATACTGAAAAATATGGAGAATGCATATTGAATGGGAAGTCACTGTTTCTGCCATAGCTAGAAAAAGACTCCTCACAACCTATGTCTTATACCTACCTTCCCAAACCACATAGGCAAACGACGAAAATCCAATCCCAAACCCCTTGTTCTGAGTGAAGCTAGAAAGCAGTTAATGATCTACAGACTACCTCAGGTCCTCCGGCTGCACCTTAAAAGATTCAGGTGAGCTTGCTGTTGGAGTCCCCAGCTGGGTGAGAGCTGTGGGAAAAGCTGCTCCAAAGGCTTTGGTGAGGGCGCATGTCTTTTTTGGTGTTGGGAGGGGAAGCCTGTTTGCTCGAGACCTTGTGTTTTCCATGGAGATTAGATCATTCACATCCGCTAAGACAAATTGATGTGGGAACCCAGCAGGACTGGGCTTTTGCTCTCATGCTCCTGTGTAATTAATTATCCAGCCTCCACTGGGTGTCTGCGCTTAAAGATTTTCTAGCCTGGCTTGGACTTATGTAGATTCATCTTCAGGATGACGTATAAAATAATCTGGAAAAGAAGGGCAAGCAGGATACTACAGAAAGACTATTGCTTGAATTGCTTGTTTAGGGATCTCTAGGTTCAGAGTCCTTCATGGAACATTCGTAGCAAATAAATGGGCTAGGTGCAGCAGCTCATGACTGTAACCCTAGCACTTTGGGAGGCCAAGGTAGGCAGATCACTTGAGCTCAGGAGTTTGAGACCAGCCTAGGCAACATGGTAAAACCCTGTCTCTATAAAAAATACAAAAATTAGCCAGGCATGGTAGTGTGCACCTATAGTCTCCCCTGCTCGGGAGGCTGAGGTGGGAGGATCACCTAAGCTCAGGAAGGTTGAGGCTGCAGTGAGCCTTGATCATACCATTGCACTCCAGCCTGGGCAACAGAGTGAGACCCTGTCTGAAAATAAATAAATGTAAACATTGATTATCACCATTTTATTGATGGAAAACCAAGGCCAGAAGGTTAAATTTTCTCAGTTTCCTGTTTTATTAATACCTGCCTCTACCTATGATTGTATATGCCAGTTTTTACTAGTAACAAGCTTATATCCATGTTCTAGGTGGTCTGGCCGTAATCATCGAGAGAAGATTGGGGTCCATGTCGTCTTTGACCAGGTATTAACCATGGAACCTTACTGCTGCAGGGACATGCTCTCCTCTCTTGACAAAGAGACCTTTGCCTATGATCTCTCCGCAGTGGTCATGCATCACGGGAAAGGGTTTGGCTCAGGACACTACACAGCCTATTGCTACAACACAGAGGGAGGTGCGTGCGCTTTACTCTGTGGGGTGGGGGACACGGAAAGGGGTTGATTTCTCCACATTTTACTGTTTTCCTTTTATTTCCATCCCATGGATTGATTACCTAGAGGGAAATTACATACATCTAAATCCAACGGAAAGAATTATGAAAGTTGGGCCAGGCGCTGTGGCTCACACCTGTAATCTCAGCGCTTTGGGAGGCTGAGGTGGGTGGATCACTAGAGGTCAAGAGTTTGAGACCAGCCTGGCCAACATGGTAAAAACCCTGTCTCTACTAAAATAGTACAAAAATTAACTGGGCGTGGTGGCAGGCACCAGAAATCCCAGGTACTCAGGAGGCTGAGGCAGGATAATTGCTTGAACCTGGAAGGCAAAGGTTGCAGTGAGCCAAGATTGCTCCAGCCTGGGTGACAGAGCGAGACTCTACTGTCAAAAAAAAAACAGAATTATGAAAGTTGAATTCAAATTTTGGGTATATCACTAAGTAACAACATATGGTTGTTCTAAGAATTAAAAGGAACTCACGTAAAAGTGCTTAGAACAGCACCTAGCCCCTGTGCAATGGCTCACGCCTGTAATTCCTCTGCTTTGGGAGGCAGAGGCAGGAGGACTGCTTGAGGCCAAGAGTTCAAGACTAGCCTGGGCAACATAGTGAGACCCCATCTCTAAAAAAAATTTAAAAATTACCCAGGCATGATGGTGTGCACCTGTGGTCCTAGCTACTTGGGAGGCAGGGTTGAGATAATTGCTCAAGCCCAGGAGTTTGAAGCTGCAGTGAGCTACGATTTCACCACTGCATTCTAGCTTGGACAACAGAGTGAGATCCTGACTCTTTTTTTTAAAAAAAAAAAGAGCAGTTGCCTAGCACATAGTGCTTATTCAGTCAGTGTTGGAGGATACTGTAGTATTATCAATAGTGCTGGTTATTGATATTATTACTATTGTGGTAATGCTAATTCTGCACACCCCCGTTTTCCTTCTTGGTTATGCAGAAATATTACCTGGGTAACCTCAAGGAGATATTGTATGAATCTCACTAGCCTCAGCTTATAATAAAGCTGGAGACATTTACTGTTCTTACTACTTCCCCTGCCATGGGAAGTATGGGGATGCAAGGGCCCCTCCAAAGGAGCTTTAAGTTGTCATCCTCCAGAGTGGAGTCTCCCAGCTACTGTACTGACCAATGGGCTGCAGATGTGTTTTCAGCTGTTCACTGTTGCTGAACTGCACAGCCCTTGGGGCATCCAGAGCCTGTGAACAAATACTTTTTTATTCCTTCTAAATTTTCCTTTATGACTCTCCTCTATATCCATTTCACCTCTCCTCCTCCTTTTCTTCCTCGTCTCCCCATTGCTTCGCCTGCAGTGTTGCAGCTATCTTTCTAGAACGCCCTAATGGACAATGAAAAAGCCTGAATAAAACAAATATAAAAACGGCAGTCAGCTGATAAGCAGTATTGTGGTGGGGTTTGGTGGTGTTAAAGCCAGTGGATATAGAGAAGTCTGTTGGTTTCATATACTTGTCCCTTTCCCACCACCAATAATGGAGGGTTGGCTCTATTCAGAACTGCTCTGTTCCTTTCTTCATTTCCTGATTTTGCCTGCTGACTAGAAATATGAATTGAGTAGTCATTTCTCCTTTTCTCCGTTGGTTTCCTAGGTTTTTGGGTCCACTGCAATGACTCAAAGCTGAATGTATGCAGTGTCGAGGAAGTATGCAAAACCCAGGCCTACATCCTTTTTTACACTCAAAGAACAGTGCAGGGCAATGCAAGAATCTCAGAAACCCATCTCCAATCTCAGGTGCAGTCCAGCAACAACGATGAAGGCAGACCACAGACATTTTCCTGAAATGGGAGGCATGTATCAAAGACTGGCTTGCTTTTAAACTATTGGTGTCCATACATCTTTCCTCTTATAGGAAATAAGGCTACTGCAGGAACAGATGACTAGGTTTGCCTCACTGAGTCTAGAGTAGAAGGTGCCAGGTGATTCATGTCCTATCATAAATTTTGTAGTCTCTTTTCATTGAATTTGGGAATTCCCTCCTTTCATAAAAACAAATCAAAAGAAGTAACTTCTATGAAGATCATTTCATCAGTTGCTTCTGAATATAGAGGGATCTGGGTGGAGAAGAGGGGGAGAAAATTGATCATATCCACACAGGAGAGCAGCCATGTTTTCTCTCCATTATGTGATTCCCCTGCTAAACAGGACCTCCTTGCAGCATCAGAAGAACCCTCTGGATGTGAGCAGCCCTGGACAGAGCACGTGAGGAGGGGCCCTGGGCTAGCAGCTTGCTGGATGGGATTGGCTCCAAGATGGGAGATGAAGTCTAAAGGGTTTATTCCCACAAAGGAAGTAACCCTCAAGGGTTTAAAACAAACTTCCTTTTCAGGGGATAGCAGCTGAAGAGTGGAGTGAGATGCATGGAACAAATTTCCCCATGCAAAATGGGATGGTTTTCATATGTCATACCCTCCCTGCCTGCCGCTGTCATTTAATCATTCTATACTTCTGAGACTGGTGTGAATATCCCTTCATTCTAAAGAAGGGGCAGTTTATATAAAGAAGCAATAGACTAGCACATGTTGCATGCTGAGCCAAAGGGCACTCCTGGCTATCGCAGTTCTGTAGCAGAGCCCTGGTTCAGGTCTAAGGCAAGCACATGGTTTGGCTTAAACTGGTTCTTAGGTTTTCTCAGAACTCAGTTGAGGGTGGGCAGAGATAGCCGGTGCTCCAGGGCTTATTGAATGCCTGTCACCTGTTCTCACTTCAGTGCAGCGTGTGGCTTCTTAGCCTACAACGTCTTTCATGTTCCTGGAGAGCCGGAACATTCATGTCCACAGGGTTTGGGAGCTTTTGGTTTTCTAGGGTATGGTAACTGCTTAGGAATGCACCCCCTACATATCTGAAGAGTTTATTGCTGATGGTCTTGGCCTGTTCCCTTCCAAATCTTGATAGTCCCTACTGTTGCTTTACCCGCTATACTCAGTCCATCAGAGAAAAAAGCAAGAGTGCCCTGTCCTTTCCCCCAGTGCTAGTAAAATGCACCTTCCTTTTTAAATTGGGTCAGTTTCTAAACAGAATGAAATTGCCCAGATAAAAATCCTTGTCCCCATCAGGCACCACTTCATTCTTAGTTCTTCACTTAGATTTGCTGAACTTTTGTTGCTATGGTTGCTGCAGTAAGCCTCACTCAACCTGTCACTATGAATGCTCATCTTTTGACTGAGTATATCATATTCATGTTTGAATTCAGGTAGAAGTACAGTTGTCACTTGAAGGGAGTAGATGTGGAAGGGAGTTTGGGGAGGGCTGGAAAGTGGGGAAAGCAAGGCTAAAGAATGAGGGTTATAGCTTTAGCAATGTTGATGAGCCACATTTCCCGCATAGATCTGTAGCATTTGCTGTTGACCTCAAAATTTTGAGATGAACTCTCCCATAGGCCCTGCCAGGCAGCACTGAGACATGGAGGAAATTCAGACAAAAAAATGGCTCACCCTGATAGGGAAGGAGTGGCTATATTTTAAATTAAACTTGCTTTTTCCAACACTGTGAGGTTTCTGTAATATTTAGCTTTTATTTGGAAGCGATAGCGTATGGCATTTTTTTATGCTATTTGGTTTATATTTCTACTGCAGGCTTCTTTGTATAAGCTTTGCCTGGGCTCACCCTCTCCTGGACACTGTTTTAAAGTGTGAACACTGTCCATGCTGCCAGAGGCTCTGATGTGAAGCTGTACTCTCAAGATCCACAGTTTTAAGTCAGTATGATTAGTAATGATTTTTTGTGGCAATAGAGAAGCCCATTAACTCAAAAACACCAAGGAGAGTAAAAAGGAAAGGAAACTATGAATCGTGCCTCATCTTTCATTGAATCTTATATTTATTATTCTAGAAAAAGAGAACTTACGAGATAGAGAAGAACTAATAGAGCATCTACTTTACCCCTCAGGCTGTCCAGTGGGGATAATTATTAATAAACATTTAATGGAAAATTCAAAGATCTTCCAATTTAATTTTTAAAAAGTTTTATACCAAATATTATAAGGATTTATTAAGCAGATTAAGGACTTTGTGAAGTAAGTACTTAACTTAGCTGAGCACATATATATCAAAGTAATAAAAGAAACTAACATCAGAGTCTCCACTGAGCTACACATTTGCGAAAGGTGCGCACTGCAGTTACAGACACCTCAGGTACCCAGAGGCAGCAGCACTAGACACTTAAGAAGTTAGTATTAAGGAGATTTCTATTAAAGAAGAATTCCCTGCTGCATAAGCCAATGGCTATTGTGAGGGAAATGTCCCTTTGCCTTTAATTTATTTACATATTGGGTACAGATGAATGTCTCAGTTGCATCTTAAATTAAATTGAATCATTCTAAAGAGAAGAAAAGAAGAACCAGGTAAAAGCTGACTAGATGCTGCCAAATCAAACCCAAGGTCTCCTAACCGAACCTTAATGGGCCCACTTCTCTCCCAGGGCAAGTAGTTAAGAGTCTTGTTCCAGTAACCCTTTGTAGTCAGTTGGCTGGCATGTTTACTTGCTGCTGTAGCCAGCCAAGATGAGTGCACCTAGGCCCTCAAAAAGGATTTTTTTTTTACCTCAATCTAGCCTGACCCTCATATTTGTGGTTGCCTCTAAGACGAACATCCATGCTAGTGTAAAAATAATTAGGAATGGCCTTGGTAGCCAGGAACTGAAGCTCTTATTACATGGTGGATGGAGCTCTTGCCAGCTTTGATCCAGCCCCTCAATCTTGGAGTTACGGGGCAGGGTTGGGGGGCAGTGCTACACTGTAAAGAATTTCCAGATGTTTCTTAAAATGTTATGAATAAAATTGGAAACTGTAGAAGTGTTAATGTGTCCTATGGACTCAATAGCAGAGTTTATTTTTGTTTTTAATGGCAAGGCTTCTAGAGTCAATGATTGTATGAGTTTGCTACTCTGGCTATGCTTACAGCTCCATCCAAGTACAAGGGAAGAACCAATGAGGTGGATTGGCTGGCAGCGGGGCATGCCCCAGCATAAGCCCTAGAGATGTTGACAGTAGTGCAGAATGAACACTTGGTTGGGGATGGCGGGTGGGGGGTGGGAGTTGGGTGGGTGGGCTGGGAGGGATAAATGGAGTTTGTTTTACTTACTGATAAAGCTTTGTGAACTAATTTTATACAATTCATAAAATTTGGTGCCTTGTACTCGATTATGGTTTGCATGGAATTGAAGATTAAGGGAAAGGATTTCTTCTTATCATTTCAAGTGGCAAATGGGTCTGTGTAGTGTTTAAAGGACATCTGGTATCACAGACTTTTAAAAAGCATTTCATATCTCTTGTCTGTGAATGCAAATTATTCTTACCAGCAAGTTCTGCAATTTTGTTGTAATGTCCAAATTCTTTGTATTTGTGACTGTTCATCAGATGGCTGCTTTTCAAAGCAGACTGTGTACCCCATTGTTTTTCACTACCTTTATCATATTCCATATGTTAACTTGGGCCTTTCCAAATCAGGCTGGGGGCCTACTCAGATAGGGATATAGTATACATTTTTTCAAAAATGTATAAATTTTTTTTTAAAAAGAGAAAAAATAAATGAAATCTTACTCAAACCATCATTATGGCTTTAAAACCCAACCAGCAGTAAACACTTACTTGAAGTCAAAACAGTAAATTTTGAATGAAATTTTAATTATGCTTTTGGAAGCTGCCGTAACTCTTGCTGGATTTTGATTTTCAATTTTGGAAATTTTTATCAAATAAACTGCTCAGTCATTATATTAGGTAGCAGACTTTAAGGATCTACGTTTCATTCCTATAAAAAAACAGGATGTACTGGTATTTCTTGTCTTAGCAAGTAGTTTGATGCAGGTCTAAATAGGTTTAGCATCTATACTATGGCTTAAAAGATTCCTCCTTTGTCACCATTTGGGAGGTGCTGGCTTCAAAGCTAAGCTTTGCTTTCATGTGACCTTTCTTCATCTTAATACCCAATAAGATATAAATCTCTCAGAGTCTACCCAGTGTAGACTCAAATGGTCTTAGCTTCATCTATCAAGTAAGATCTAGCTGATTTATACAAGAGAATGGTTCTTTTTAAAATATACATACTTTAAAAATCTAATTCTCAAGTAATTTTCTTAATATTTATGCTGGCACGGTCAAGAAAGACTATTTTGTCCTGTTTATATTTAGTAGTGAACAAACTGCTAGAGACATCTGTCAGTCTTAACAGGCCACTGTGGTCCATATATACTGCCTCCTTTCCAATTAATGTCCTTTAATCCCATACTAGTTCCATAGGAGACTTGGCACATGAAAGCACTGTTTTTCTTAATGCCTAGTAAACTGACCAGAAAAAAATATTGCCATGGGGGACCTGTTTCTATCCACCTCTTTCTGTGGCTACATGAGTTTATACATGCCAGTTCCATACATATTCCATTTCCAAAGAGCCCCCAAACCCTGGACAGTAGCACTACCATGAATTTTAGGGTCACAAAACATTTATTTCCTTCTGAAGGCAGCAGCTTCCTCAGCAGTGTCACTTTAGTGCCCACTGCCCAGGATTACTTCACTGTGCTCCCCCACACACACATCACTGCCCTCTTTCTGCCACCAAACCTCACTTTTCCAGCAACAATGCCTCCCTGGTGCCTGGAAAACCCACCTGGTGCACTAAAATGCTATGCAACACCAAATGGCTTCTTCCCCGAATATTGCTCAACTATATAAATTCTTCAAGAATAAATTTCATGCTATGTTAACATCAATGTATGGTTAGTTTCCTTTTTTTTTCCTTTTAAAATGAAGCAAACCACCTCCATTAAAATCCATGTTTGGGGCTTGTTTTTGTCTCTCAAGTGTGAAATATAAATCATGTTTTTATGATTTTTGTAAATCTTGACTTTTTACACCTTGTTTTTGTAAGCAAAAGTTTCTTATTAAAAGAATAAAATGACTGACTGTGTGTGCAGTATTTATTTCAAATGTTTGTTAAAACAGCATTGTTATTTCTCAGGACAAGAACAAAGATCACCCCCTGGAGAAGCTTAGGAACTTTGTACAGAACTTTACAGAACAGAGGCAATACTTTAGCTTAAACTTGTCTGCTGATCAGAGAATGGAATTCTGCGTGGACTCAAGGAACAAAAGGAAACTAGGCAGGGATAAGGAAAAGGAAAGTGCCCATCTGAATCAAACTTCAGCTGCCATCAGGGCACGTCTTGTAATGGTCACAGATTGTAGGTTGTTTTTTGGAAGGTTCAGGTTCAGCACAGGATTCCATTTGTCTGCAATCAGATGATAAGACAACGGGTGGCATTAGAAATGTAAAACTATGGGAGGGAAATTGGTAAGAGATACTTAAATCCCTTGCAACATCTGAAAACACATTTAACTAGGAATAGTCAAGGGGTTACATCACAATCTTTTGTACATTTCGTGAACAGCTGACAGAAAACATTGCTTCTTCCAGGCTCTAGGTCTCTTAAGACACGCAGGGGTGTGGTTCAGTTCTTACCTACTTGGCTACACCCCTGGCTGAGGTGCCATGAGGTCAATGTCACTCAAGTTCCTGGCCAGCCAAACTCCCGCAGCAAAGAGTCCCAAATTGAGGATCAAGTTCCTGGAAAAACAATGTGTTTTATTAACCCTGTGGTCAAAGTCACTTGTACGGTTAACAAAAAATACTGGGGGAAAAGGCTTCCAATCACCACCGCCTTCCCGAGGCGTTGATACGTGGTTGTGACATCGTGGGTTGCTGTAGACCCACGTGGGAATTTGGAGTTCATTTTTGTGCCCAATCAATGTAAGATGAAACGCAAAACCCTACTGAAGCACTCGTCCAGGGCCGAAAAAGCCTGTTTACGTACTGGCACCTCTCCCTTTGATCAGGGTGACATTACAGATACAGCCACATGACAGAAAGATCGCTTTTGCCACACGGGAACTCTCTTGGTCAACGACCTCAGTGAGACACAGCCAGAGTTACGAAGAAGCCACAATGCCAGCAATGTTAAAAAAAAAAACAAAAAACCCTGAGGTGTCAGTCCCGCGAGGAAAGGAAAATACGGACGTAAGGACCACAGAAGGACCAAGTTTTCCGGGTTCGGTTACCTCCGGAAGTCATTCCTATCAGTGGCAAAGCGGTAGACGCCCCGAAGCCAATCTCCCACGTTGTCAGGTATTTCGGGGGTTTCATTAGCCGAGCCGGCAGCGCTCACCGGGACCCCGCTGGAAGCCATAATAGAAAGCTTCGCACGAACTTCGTTGGAGGAACCGTATAGGCGTCGCCGGCGGATGACGCACCTCCGGTCTGGCACTTCCGGTGGCCACCGGTCGGCAGGGGACGCTGTTCTCTTAGTCCGACATCGGAAGAGAGGGACGGCCCCCTGCTGCGCGTCCACCAACTCTACGAGGGGAGGAGCGCGGCCCAGCTCTACGGTCCCCTGCTCCCCGTCCCACCTCCGGCTCTCCAGCCGGTAACCGTCACGCGTGCTGTGATCATTTAATTGGCTCGGGAAGAGGATGGTGGGGACGGGGCTGTCCCAGCCTGTGGAGGTGGGGGTGGGGGCTATCTCAGCAAGGGAAGCGTAGCTTTGGACAATGGGTTTTGCCAAAAAGCTCTCCACCAGAAGTCCTAGAACACGCAGTGCTGAAGGGGGTGCACTCCAAACTTGTCACCTCGCCGCCTCTCATGGGCGTGCGCATGACTGCGTTTCAGTCTAGGATTTTTCTAGGGGGAGGATAGCCTTGTTCTCCCGCTCTATAGACTTCTTTTCCCCCATTCACACCCCCTTCTCTGAGCTGCGCCTCTAGCACACGGTGCAGTGCTTCTTAGAGGCGTTGCTGTCCTCTGCTTGGAGGCTTCCGGGGGTCTTCCAGGACAGGGGAAGGCGCTCGCCTAAGAAAAAGCCTTCAGGTTCCGAGTCAGAGGAAGAGGAGTAAGTGGGGAAAGGAGTGTCCTTGGGATGACGAGGAGTCTTCAGGCGGCATTGCTCCTGCCGTTTGGGTGCTTCCGCTTTGTCCCCAGGTCGGCTCTCCTGCTGGGGACTGGATCCAGGCAGCCCCGTCCGAGTTTGCAGGCTGGAACAGCCGGCAGCAGCGAGGAGTGTTCGGGAGAGGGTCACAGAGTTCAGCGAGGTTTGGTCCCTTCCTTCAGTTCGGTCGGGTCCAGTGTCCCCTGTTCCTGGCCAGATCAGAAACGCTGGTCTCAGAGCGCGGAATCTCCCTCACAGAGCCTAGCTAGACCACCGCCGCAGCTAGCCGGGGTGAGGCCTAGCCTCCCGCCCCGCCCCTTAGGCCGTGCGCGCCGCCGCCGGGAGTCCTCTCCTGGGTCCCCCGCCTCCACCCACCAGAGGGCGGCCGCGTCCCGTGCCTGGGAGGGAGTGCGGCGCCGCAAGCCCGACCGCGGTGCGGGGTGGGTTCGAGAGGCCCTTGGAACGCTCCAGCCAGGGACGCGCGGTGAGAGCTGCGGGCCCTAAGGCTCGGGTATGGGGGGTGCGGTGGGGGACCGCGGGCGCTGCTGGAGGGACGGGACGGCGTGGGACCGGGGCAAGGGTCCCAGCCCGGGAGAACCCCCACAGCCCAGCCCAAGCCTCCTCCCGCTTTGACCTGCATCCTCTCCCTTACCAAGGAACGCCTGCCCTTCCAGTGCCCCAGCCGAGCTCCAGCCTGCATCCGAGTAGCGGTTCTCGAAGCAGCTGGGGCAGCAGGGGCTTCCCCCAGGCAGGGCATAACGTCCCCCGCCCAGGGGCCCGGCGCAGTCCTGGCAACAGAAGTGGTTCTCATGCCAGTGCCGTCCCTCTGCCTCGGTGCAGTGCCGAGAGAAGATCAGCTGGGAGAGGGAGAGGGGAACGGTTCATTCATTCATTCATTCATTCACTCATTCATTCATCCAGTAACCACGCCTTTTACCCAGTTAACGCTAAAGCACGTCTACATACATTCCCATTTGACCCACTCAGCCACTCTAGGACTCAGGGAGGACTGATTGGCTTAGCCAGGATCCCAGCTAGCAAGTGGCACAATCCAAAGTTCTACCTGGGGGTCTGGACTCCCAACCCAGGGCTCCAGGCTTCCTTTTATGCTGGCATTAAGGGAATTTCTAGCATGATGAGGCACAGCACTGGGCACTTGGCATATACTGATGAGCATCTGTCCAAGAGTCCCTGCTCTAAATTCTCTGAGTCCAAGAACATTTGAGGGACTCTGATTGCAATGGGGGCACGAGAAAGGCCGTAGGCCCCACATGCCCAGAGCTCAAGTCAGAACACAGGGAATTTGGTAGTCCCAGGCTGGTTACTAGTTCTGCCCGCTCCCTGATACTGGGAGAACCTGTGGGCCAGGAGAGTATCCCTTTGTATCCTGCCACTCTGGGCCCTGGGGAGACCCCCAGTTCTTCCCCTCCAGGCTGTACCTGGTCACAAGCCGGGCAGCGTGGGCGCAGCAACTCTGCATGATGACGGCCGCAGTAGAGTTGTCCATCATGGTAGAAGTAGATGAGGTTTACCAGGGCCTGGCCACAGGCCTGGCAGGCAAAGCAGGGCTGGTGCCAGCAGCGCTGTTCCCCTGCCCGGGCTGCAAACACTCCGTACTCCCCTGGCTTCAGCAGCTCCCTGCACTGTGGGAGGGGAGGTGCTGAGGTGGTCAGAGTAGGCACTACCGACCTAACTTCCCTCCTTGCTCTTCTAATCCAATCCCAACCTGTTCTCACCATACCCTAGCAAGCCCACATCCACTGCAGCCTATACCAAGAGCTCCCAAACTTGGTTTCTGTTTTTCCTGTTTCCCAACCAGAGTCCCAGAAGCTAGCCCATTCTGCAGAAATAAGAGGGCAAAGAGTGGAGGAAGGAGAACTTGGTGGGAGGGGTACTACATACCTTCTCACAGGTGTGTCCTTTAAGCTTGGGAAGTAGCAGGCGGGCCACCCCCTGTCCCAGGGCCTCCTGCTTCCGCCTGGCACAGAAGAGCCGCAGCTCAGCCAGCTCCTCCTCCCCAAGGGCCAGGCAGTAGCGCTCCTGCAGAAACAGTCCTCTGCAATGACTGGGAGAGTCCCAGCAGGCAAGATGGAGCATTGGTTGGAGGAAAAAAGACTTGGCTGCTAGGTCAGAGAAAGGTTGTAGAACCTCAGGGAGATGCCAGAGATAATGGCATAGAAGGGCAAATAGAAGAAGGAAAGGAGCTCATGTAAGGCCACCTCAGTCTCCCCCTGCCCCCCAAGAATGGCCATTAATCAGGTCCTGACAGGCCCGCAGCACATAGCCCTGTCACCATTAGGTCTTTGCTCCCAATGAGCTAGAGCTCAGTATCAGTTCCCATGCTTACATTTGCTCAAATTATTTCATATATTCCTGTCTTGCCTCCCCAATTGAATTGTAAGCCTTTAGGCTGGGCACATGTAGAGCCTCAATAAATACGTAACAACCATACTCTCTACATTGTACATTCCATTATCTGTTTCAAAAGTTGTTCATGTCCATTTTCTCATTCGCTCTTGAATGAAGCATTGTGGTGGGCAGAGATGTTCTTGCACCCGCTATTGCTATTGTTATTGCCAATGTGAAAACTCAGGGGAGAATCACCCCCCAACCAGTGGCACAGCTGGGTCTTAAATCTATATCCCCTAACTTCTGGACTGATGTTCTTCCCACAGTAAGAAAAGGGAGGGGGAGGAGGAGGCAAGAGAGGGAAGATGGGGAGAGGAGACCCACATCAATGTCCTGTGGAGGGAGTTGCTGCAGGAGGGTCTGAAGCCCAGTCCAGTTGGGGGCTTGGTTGGTGTCCAGGCAAAGGGAACCCAGGCCCAGAACAGCAGGACCCTGAGGAGACATGGAAGAAGGGGAGGAGTGAAACTAGGTTTTTCTTTCCTTTCTCCTTCTTTCCCCCTTGTCATTGCCACCTGTTCTCCAATCTAGAGCAGCTTCTAAGCATGCCCTCCATTTGGGAGGATCCTCCTTCCAGATTCTCACTGAGCTCGAGGATGGCCTTGGATGCCTGCATCTGTGGTCTTCCTTGAGGGGGGCTGAGGAGGCCCCACACCCCAAAACAGCTTCTCTTCTTATGCTTAAAACCACCCCCTTCACTCCTTGAGGCCAAAGCTCCTAGAGTCTGCTTTGACAACACAGACCCCCTAGGAGAGGTAATGAATATTAATGTGAATGAGTTTAAAGTTAAAACCCCATGTTTTAAGCAGGTGCAGAGACAGGAATTCCTGAAAAGAAAAAAGGCAACAAAAAATTAGGCATGAAGTCAAACCACCTCAGGGTTGGTGGAAAAGGGGAGCACTCCACAGGATAGAGGTCATGTTGGTCTCAGGAAGGGCACAACTCTACTACCTGAGCAGAGGTATCCTCAGGGTCCTCGCCCGGCAGGTAGCCTGAGTCACTGTCTGAGTTGGCTGGTGGACCTGGCTCCTGGGGGTTGGGGCTGTCCTCTTGGCGGGGCCATCCAGAGTTCTGCACTGACATTGGTGGCAAAGGCTACCCCAAAACAATAAGAACCCCTCCATGTATTAGGCCATTACAATATACTAGGAAGTGTTAAGTGCTTTATAGATACTATTTCCCTCAATCCTCCCAACACCCAGTGACTTAGGTAGCACTGTCCCCATCTTACAGATGGCCCAACTGCGGATCAGAGCGTGAATAGCATGCCCAAGGTCAAACAGCTAGTAAGTGGCAGAGCCAGGTCTTGAGGTCAGGTCTTTTGGCTCCAGAATTTCTAAAGTTCAAATTCTGGGGTCTCCCAAGATTGGGATGGAGGTAAGAGGAGGACAGTAGAAGGAGAGGGCACTTTGCCTGCCTTTCTGGTGGGCCTTTAGGCAGGCCGGCCCTTCTCTCCTCACCTCAACAGCCTTAACTCCCACCATCTCTCACCTTGTACCTGCAGCCCCAGTGAGCCTCCTCCACAATTTCCTACATGGACCCAGTTTTTCCAGCTATATAGGCTTGGGCCTGGTTAAAGGATCCCCTTATGAGGAAGCCCTTCTCAGCTTCTGTGAGCATACTTTTCCTGAGCTCCTGAAGCAAGCAGTGCCCCAAGATTTAGCACCTAATGTTTTTCTCTGCTCTCTGCATCTCTCTTGACTACCAAACTAGTCTATAAGTTCCTCAAGGTCAGAGGAACACCTTGCACTTTTATCTATAGCAGCAATTGCACTGGATAATCTAAGTGCATCTCTTCAGCTTTCCTCTTGGCAAGTCCTGGTATGACCACAATATCTTGGGGGTAAGAAGTGACTATTAATGTAGAGAAGAGCTGAGCCCGGAGTCCTGCCCTCAGGGAGCTCATAGTAAGTAAGACAGAGATGAAACCAAGTAGAATGGGACCAGAGCTCCAGGCAGATATACACAAACTCGAGGGAAAATAACCAGAGCAAACATTTATACTATTTACTCTGTGCAAAGGACTATTCTAGAATATTATATAACATAGTCTATCTCACAATAATCTTATGAGGTAATCTCCTTTAGTCCTCTTGACAGTTAACAAGCAAGTTAACTAACTTGCCCAAGATCACACCAAAGGCTTAAGGGAAGCCTTAGGGGGAGCTGGCCTCTGAGAGTTGGGATAGATGGTGAAAGTAGCTGGGCACAGGAGGGTCATCGTCAAATCCCTGCCCTCTGTAAGACTCAGTATTGGGGTTGAGGTGAGGGTTTGGACCATAACAGTTAATATTGCTTCCCAGCACTGAACCCTCCTCAGCACTGTCCCCCAACCCCCAACTTCAAATGTCCTGTGCCACCCTTTCTTCCTTCCTGGCTTCACACCCACCTGCTTCCTTCCTCTTCTGTCTCTCAGGTCAGATTTCCTGTGGAAGGCGGCCAGGATGGGCTGTTCACACCAGGAGTAGCCACTTCGCCTGACAGCACTGCCCCTGCTCCAGGCAGCAAGAAAGGAAGGGGGTATCTGGGGCCCCAGAAGGGACTTGCAGCCTCTTTCATTTTAGCTCTAGTTTGCATGGAATTGTCCAACACTGAAACAACGCTCAGAAATCAGGCCTCTATTCCTCACCTTTCCATCTCCCCAAAGGCCACCAAACTCCACCTCCACCTAGCACTGGATTCTTTCCATAATTCCCTTCCCCCTCCCATTTCAGATAAGGGACGGAACTGAACCCCTTGTCTTGCCTCCTTGCAGGTGCAAGAGGGCTCAGGAGCTGGACATCGCCAACCCCCACTGCCCTGAAAGGAGAGCCTGAGAGGCCTTAGGGCTTGGGAAGGTGGAGGGATGGGAAGATTTCTGGGGACAATGGGAGGGAGAAGGAAAGGAAGTGCCCAGTCCTGCCAAGTGCCCTCTCGTTAGATGCCCAGAGTTTTTCTAGAACTTGGCGGGCCCACCTCCGGGGCTGGGATTCGGTGTGTTTCCCGAGTCCGCTGGTGTTCGCAGCCTGGCTGCGGGGATTTTAGAGGAGGGGACGAGGACTCCGCTGGGGTCTCACCCTCGCTGTGCGCCGCGTTCCCGGCAGTTCTGGACCGACTCTGCTTTCGGGCCCCTTACCCGGTCCCCACCCCAAGGCCTCAGCGCCCGGCCCCGCCCGCCACAATAGTGAGGCCCTTCCTCTCCCACGCCCCAGCGGCCCCCGCCGCTCCCCCGCCCCGTCCCCGGCTGGTGGAGAGGGGCGGCTCAGGGAGGGGCCAGTAGCTGCAGATTGGAAAACACACACACACACACACACACACACGGGCCAGTAGCTGCAGATTGGAAAACACACACGCACACACACACAGGCGGCTCAGGGCGGGGCCTGGAGCTGCAGATTGGAAAACACACACACACACACACACACACACACACACACACTTGTGGGATCTCTTGGAGCTGCAGGGAGGGGCCTGGAGCAGCAGATTGGAACACACACACACACACACACACACACGTGGGATCTCCTGGAGCTGCAGATTGGAAAACACACACACACACACACACACACACACACACACACACACACACGCAAGCGCGCACATTTGTGGAATTTCAGGGTGGAAATGTGCGGGTTCCACCATGCAGGTGCAGGGGCTTCAGGCCCGGATTGCGCCCGGTGGGTATCCAGCAGACGCCGGGAGCCGCGTTTACACTGGGTTCTCAACCACTCGCTGAATGGAAACGCCTCGCCGGGCCCGCAGCTCTGTCTCTCCGCAGTTCCCAGGTCCCCCCAAACTCTTCCTCTGGTCTCGCAGCCCCGCCCTTCCACGTGTTTCCCTTCACTTCTCTCTCCCTTGTCCCCTGTGGTACCCCTGGGCCCGTCTCTTCTCAGCCCTCTTCCGGGGTCCCTCGTCCTGCCCTTCTCCCTTCAGGTCTCTTCAGACCCTTTCCCCTTCCCTTTGTTTCTCGCCTAACCCTCCTTCCCGGTTCCGATCCCCGGAGCACCCCCAACTTTGGTTACCCTAGCACCGCCTCTGCGCCCCGCCCCCGGCGCAGGCTCCGCCCTGTCCCCGCCGGGCTTGCTCAGTCCCTGACCAGCAGCGCCCTCTGGCGTCTGCGCATGCTCCTTGCTCCCGACAGCAAAGTCCTCCAAAGGGACCTTCTAGGCTGCGCGCTTGTCGCCCCCGCTCGGGTCCGCCCGCCTGCAGCGTCTCGTTGGTGCTGCCAGTGACCTCCGACCCCGCGGCTGCGGGGCGGGGCGGGGCGGGGAGGCCTTAGCTCCGGGCGGGCGGCGGCTGCTGCAGCGGGACCCGGGAGCGGGGCCCGGCGCCGCCTGGGCCGCGGGGCGATGTGAGTTGGGGCGCGGCGGGGCGGGGACGAAGCGGCTTCACCGAGGCCTTGTCGCGCCGCGCCGCAGTCTCCACTCCCTCCCTAGGAAGCCCCGGGCGGGCGGGTGGCGAAGCACCGGGGCTGGGGGCAGGGATCCGGGGGCCGCGCACCCCTACCTCCCCATTCCTTACTGGCGTCTAGAAATTCTCCTTGGCAGTCCTGCAGCCTGTCCTGCAGCCTCTGGCTCTCCAAACTCTACCTCAACCCTCTCCACCCTGGACACACCATCGCGTCTCCTGAAGCCCTCAGAACCCCCTCACTCATTCAACAAATCTCCTGCTATGCCCACAGACCCACCATTCTCTCTTGGATGCCCCCAAATGCTTCCACTGCCTGGAAATTCCTAGGATTCCTCATATCCCCATTGTCCTTGCGCTATCCAAAATGCCCACATCCAAAATTCTTGCTCGTGTTTCCCAAAACCTCCTCATACGTTTTCAGCCCCAACACCTTCTCTAATTCCTGCCCCTGATCCATACCTATCCCAGACCAGAGCCCTCTCCCCCTTTCCACCCAATGCAGTCCTTCCTCAGTGGGCCAATACGTCCTGATATCTTAAAGAGAAGAGATGGTGATAGGGAAATGCAACCCCTCCCCCATCTTGCACCCTAGAGTGCTTGGTTTCAGTGCCCCCGCCCCGCCCCGGTCGGTGGCTCCAGCCCCGGAACTTTCCCGGTGACCTGTCTTTAGTCTGTGCACACCTCCCTGAGCCTGCTTCTTCCAGAGAATAAGCCAGACCAAGGGGATGGCGTCCTTTTACCTGGAAGTTGTCCAAGGATGCAGGGTGCAAGGGGCCCTGGGAAGTATTGTTTCTCCAGAGCGGGAATGTGGATGTCCAGGGTCTGCAGAGTCCTGGCTTGTTGACTTGTCTACCTTGGGCTCAGATGCCCTGAAATTTTGGCTACTGTTAATATTTATGTTAAAATTAGGCCTTTTAGAACTTGGGGAGCAGAAAATCTATCAAGCTTCCAAATTCGAAATTGAATCAGCCTGTCTTGAAAGAGGAGCATGTCCATTTTAGTGATGTTTGTCTTACATTTTTGCCTCTGGAAGTTATTTACGTTAGAAGCTCCACAGTTTATAGACAGTTGCCCCCAAAACTTAAGGCCTTGGCTGGGACTTGGGGGAGTGTTGACCTAAGTCTCCCAGATACTTAGTAGCAACAAAACTGACCAGAATATTGGTTTCCTGAATCTTAAACCAGTGCTCTTTCTACTATATCACAGTGTCCTTTTGAGAAAGCTCTTTGTGGAGTTAAAGTTCTCTGCAAAGGTAAGGTGGTGGTTTTGGTGTTTGTTGTAACAGGACTCAAAGTGAGATCTAAAGTGACTTACAAGGCCTTGGGTCCCCTTAGACTTCAAACTCATTGATGCTCTGTGAGTCTGTACCTTTCAGGTCCATGGGACTTGGAATTTGTGCTCTCTTTGTCCTTGATTTTACTTCCTTCATTGGTGTTTTTGTCCCATTAGGGCTGGAACAGATGTCCAGGTAGGATGAACTGCCAGGTCACTTTCATTAACAGTTGGGGATGAAGATAGGTTTCTATTAACCAGTGTCTCTGTTTCCTGTGCTAGGTGAGCCCCAGGTGTATCCCAGAGGGATCCGGGTGAACTTCTCTGCAGACTGTTTGCCATGACAGCCCACCAAGGACGCAGGGAATAAAGTGGAATCCTTCCCCATGCCCCTCCCATGGTCAGCTCCCCGATGGCCTGGGTGAGGTAAGAGCTGTGTATAGGAGTCAGTTTTATGGCATTTCCCAAGTTGGGACAAACAGAGGGTACAGGTCACCTGGTTCTTTAAGGCTTTACCATTCAGCAGGAGTTCCAGAAGGATAGCTAATCCTATAGACTCATTTTTTGCGACAAGTTGCCACCCCTTAAAACTTCTGTTCGATATTGGTCCATGCATTTCTTGTTCTCTTCCATCATTCAAGCCTGGGTGGTGTCCTCTTCATTCTAGGCACAGGCCTGACTATTGTGATGTATAATCCAAGTACCAGAATCCTGGAGGGAAAAGCCAAATAGTAAGGCCTCTGGTCTCCCCTTCAAAGGGAAGCAAGCCCAGCATTTTATCCAATTGAGGTTATTAAAATTGTGCACTCTTTTAAACGTTCGGTCTTCTGAATATATCTTTATGATCACAGTGTAACAACTCATTTGAAGAGGACATCAAAAGATAAATTTGCCCTGGATATTGGGATGTTGGTAAGGGCGGAGAGAGAGCTTGGATGATGTGGAATGGATGAGGTAAAAAGGGAGGAAAAAAGAGACAGGTATAGGCCAAAGTGTCTGAGACCCCCAAGAGACAGTTTATTTGCTGAATCCAAATAAGGGCCTTGGGATGGCACCCACCTCCATCTGCTGCAGATCACTTCTTATGGGCCCCTACTTTTCTTCCTGCCTATGTCCCTCCCTTCCTTGTCATTACATGGGTCAGAATCCTACATACTTCTCAAGGTTCAGATCAAATGTTACCTCTGAAAAGCTCTCTCCAGCCCCCCATCAGCATTCATCTTTAACACATTCTAACTTGGATTAATGTTTATCCAGTGTGTGTCTGGTCCTGGATTGAGAGTGTGAAGTCCTTGAGGGAGGGTCTGTGTCACACAGTCTCTTGGACAGAGTGGGTGATCACAGTGAGGTGCTTCTGCCAGAGTTCCCCAGAGCAGGGTTTTTTGAATCAGAAGTTAGTGACCTGCATATCCCTTATGTTTTTCCTAGGGCAGGCTGGCTGCTCTGACACCATGGGGAGCTGCTGCAGCTGCCTGAACAGAGACAGCGTTCCGGACAACCACCCCACCAAGTTCAAGGTACCCAGATCCCTCTCCTCTTCTGCATTCCCAACATGGCCTCTTGGGTGCAGACACAGTTTAACGGAGTTGCTTCAGCCTCTCTAACAGCAAATGAAATGCTAGGCTGAGGTGGTAGGCTTTTGGAGACTTCTTGAGCTCATGCCCTCTCAAGTAGCCTGAGGAAAAGAGGCCCAGACCACTGCTGTTTTCATGGCTCTTGATATTACCAAGAATGAAGAAATGCCATAATGGTGCTTTTGGAACTGTTGTCAGTGTATTTTTATAACTTTATATATCCCTTTTATTGATAGAAAACAAAAGTCTGTATTTGTGAGTTAATATATGTAAAGTATTTAAAATAGTGCTTAGTGGCCAGGCACGGTGGCTCAGGCCTGTAATCCCAGCACTTTGGGAGGCCAAGGCAGGCAGATTGCCTAAGGTCAGGGGTTCAAGACCAGCCTGACCAATGTGGCGAAACCCCGTCTCTGCTAAAAATATAAAAATTAGCCCAGTGTGGTGGCACACGCCTGTAATCCCAGCTACTTGGGAGGCTGAGGCAGGAGAATCACTTGAACCCTGGAAATGGAGATTGTATTGAACCAAGATTGTACCACTGCACTCCAGCCTGGGTGACAGAGCGAGACTCTGTCTCAAAAAATACAAATAAAAATAAATAAATAAAAATAAAATAGTGCTTAGCACACAGTAAGCACGACATCAGCATTTGCTGTTTGCTGTGGGGAGCTGAGGGCGGACCTAGTGGACCTGTGCCCTCCCCTGCCCCACCTCTCTGTGGAAGGAGCCGCCTCCTCCCTCCTCACTCTGGGGCATGGGAAAGCACATGTTTCTCTTGTCCACCAGAAGAGGGAGCCCTCAGCAAGGACATACTGTTGGGGTAGAGGAGATATGTATTGTTTCTGCCTTGGGCTTGACTTTCCTAGGTCAGGGTGCCCAGTCTCAAGATTTTGAATTTACCGTGGAATCCTTTTCCCATTAACATCTGGGCCTTGTATCCTAAGCCATGGGCTGTCTGAGGTCATCTAACATTTGTTATCTAACCAATGGACCTTGGAGGTAAACTACCTCTTCCCTCACTGTCCATATGACAAAACTGAGCCCCGAGAAGTGGGATTTGCCCAGAGAACTGTCATAGGTCCATGACACTGCTTCATACAATCATGAGGCATTCAGTAGAGTCTGTGATAGATGCGACCTTTGGTTCCCCTCCTCTTGTCCTGCATCAGATTGTCTCCCAGTGGCTCAGGGACCCGTGCAAACACCTGTTGGACTCACTCATTGACCCTTCTGTCTGTCCCCTCCAGGTGACAAATGTGGATGACGAGGGGGTGGAGCTGGGCTCTGGGGTGATGGAGCTGACGCAGAGTGAGCTGGTGCTGCACCTGCATCGGCGTGAGGCCGTCCGCTGGCCCTACCTCTGCCTGCGCCGCTATGGCTACGACTCCAACCTCTTCTCCTTTGAGAGTGGCCGCCGATGTCAGACAGGCCAGGGTGAGTACCAGGCCCTGCTCCACCCTGGGATAGGGGCTTATGCAGGACTCCAGGGTTCCTAATGTACAAATTAGCCCTCAAGAGGTTAATGTTGTCCCCATCACCTGTGGGCAATAGAGTGTGATGTATTCTCCCTGTAGTCAGAGGTCAGGTGTAGGTTATTCCATGAGATCAAGGCTAGAGCCAGCCACAGCTCTCTGAAGGAGTGGCATGGTCTGGGTTTATCTCTTACTATCCAGACTTAAGCAATGCAAAAGGAATCCTACATGGGACTGTGTTCAGTGCAGTTTGGGATTATGACTGTGCAGAAGTGGAATAAACAAGTTTCTCTGATGAGGCTGCCAACAAAACAGTGAGCCTCCGAGGTCATGTTTGCTGGAGGAGACTTCCCTCCATGCATCTTACCCTTGGAGCTCATGAGGCAGAGGCAGGGGCGCTGGGTGAGCAGGCAGAGCGGGGAAAGGCATCTTTGTTCCTGATGATGTTTGATCTACACTTGGGTTCCCAGAGGGGCTACCCTAGGCCCCAACACAGGGTTCTCTGTGATTCCAGGCTTTCCCAGTCTTTTCGTCTTCTCATCATATCTTGCCAGAGTAGATCTTTTTCTTCCCTATTTCCTCCCGATCCTATTTGTGTAAATCAAAGTTGTCCTGTTCCCCAGCCTAATTGTGTTTTAATTGTGGGTATATGCATAGGTACACCCCACGTAGCCTCCCCTAGGTCCCAGGTCCCCCTGTTACAGAGGGGAGTGTAGGATTCCAAGCTGGCCCAGTACCCCCAAGGGCATCTTTGAGTCCCCTGATTCACAGACACTCAGCCCAGTCCTGCTGTTCCTGGGACTTTGAGTTGCAGTGTTGCAGTTGGAAGGGGTGTAAAGCTGGCTGCATTGAGGAGCCATGTGATTGCCTTGTCATATTTACCTGCAGCTCGTTTGCCCATCTTTTCTTCCGTCCCTCACCAGAGTTCATGAGGTCAGGGACCTATATACAGTAGACATTTGCTTCCTGGCCATGCAGTAGGCTAATAAGTGAATAAGCAGGGAACAGGGTAGACCCTCTTGTCATCAGCGATCTGACAGCTGGTACTCTGGGGAGCCGGGGTTGGTAGGCAGAGGAAGATGGAGAGAGCATGTGAGGTGGAATGTTCACTCATCTAACACTGTCCTTTCCACCTTGGTTTTTGTTTTTTTGATTTTTTTTTAGACAGAGTCTCACTGTGTCACCCAGGCTCGAGTGCAGTGGCACAATCTTGGCTCACTGCAACCACTACCTCCCAGGTTCAAGTGATTCTCCTGCCTCAGCCTCCCAAGTAGCTGGGATTACAGGCACCCACCACCATGCCTAGCTAATTTTTTGTATTTTTAGTAGAGATGAGATTTCACCATGTTGGCCAGGCTGGTCTTGAACTCCTGACCTTAGGTGACCCACCCTCCTCAGCCTCCCAAAGTGCTGGAATTACAGGCATGAACCACCATACCTGGCCTCTGCCTTGGTTTTGATACTTTTCTTGTGACCCCTGTATCTGAGGTCAGGAGTTTGAGACCAGCCTGACCAACATGGTGAAACCCCATCTCTACTAAAAATACAAAAAAATTAGGTGGGCATGGTGGCGGGCACCTGTAATCCCAGCTACTTGAGAGGCTGAGGTAGGAGAATCACTTGAACCCGGGAGATGGAGGTTGCAGTGAGCCAAGATTGCACCTTTGCACTCCAACCTAGGCAACAAGAGCAAAACTATGTCTTAAAAAAAAAAAAAAGAAAGAATGCTCAATGAGAAGAGGCCCTCCTACCCCTGCAGGCCTGGGACTGGCGTTCAGGGACATTTCCTGCACATTGTGCAGCTGCTGAGCTCCTCTGGTCCTTCCCTATTGGGCCCAGGGTCTGGGGAGCCTCATTTCTTCTCTCCTTCTCCAGGAATATTTGCATTTAAGTGTTCTCGGGCTGAGGAAATCTTCAACCTCCTTCAGGATCTGATGCAGTGCAACAGCATCAATGTGATGGAAGAGCCTGTCATCATCACTCGCAATAGCCACCCCACTGAGCTTGACCTCCCTCGAGCCCCCCAGCCGCCCAATGGTGAGGAGACCCCAGTGTACGTACACACACACACACACACACACACACACACACACACGCGCGCGCGCGCCCAGGAAGCACAAATCTTGGAGGGATGGGTCAAGCTTGCAGGTTGGGGGTGAGCCAGCCTTCCAGGATAGTTGTCCATGGTCAGAACCATTCTTGAGGATCGATAAGTCCTGGGCTGGACTAGGTGACTCAAGCTGAGGCTGTTGAGTCCTGGGCCTTGTATCGACTGATGGTTGGGGAACAGACAGGAAGACTTTGGGTTTCCGTAGAAACAGCAGTCTAGGGCTTTTTTGCTTCCTTCCTCTGTCTACTGGGTCATCCCCACATACCTTCCTTGCTGCTGGTGCAGGCATCTCTGGCTGTGACAGTATTCTGGAGAGGTCCTACAATTTCTGCTTGCTTAGTCGTGGAGTTCAGACCAGGCACCTGCTTGCTGTAGTGTGTTCCCTGGGCTGGCCCATGGGGGACAGGAGAAATGGAAGCAGTCCCTGTTTTTGAGGAGCTTCCCTGGACCTTCCTGGCAGACCTAGAATGAAGCAAAGGGATGGTCCTGTGACAACAAGCTGTGCTTTACCCATTTTGGGTGAGGCAATGATGGAGACAGTGGTGAGGTGTTCTTCAAGGTGAGCTTGAGGGAAAGGGCAGGGTTTGAAGAGCAGAGGAGAAGTGAAGGATAATGGGGTGCTGGTGGCTCCGGGGTTTAACCACTGTGAAGCCCTGAGAACATCTCTCCTCCATTGGAGGAGTCCCGGGATCCGCACACACAGCTGCAGCTGGTTATCAGGTGGCTTAAGTTCCCCTCCCCTGGGCTTGTCTCTCCTGTGCCCAGCTCTAGGCTACACTGTTTCCAGCTTCTCCAATGGCTGCCCTGGAGAGGGCCCACGATTCTCAGCTCCCCGGAGGCTCTCAACGAGCAGCCTGCGGCACCCCTCGCTTGGGGAAGAGTCCACCCATGCCCTCATTGCCCCCGATGAGCAGGTGAGCACGCGGCTGGCTAGCCCCTGCCCTGTTGGTCTGGGTGGGGATGAGAGATAGGAAATATGGCCACCTCCTCCCAGTGAGGATCATGGGAAGGGGAAAAACATTGTTAGGGTCCCTTCCTGTCCCCAAAAGGGAACAGCTTCCTTGGAAGGTGTGGAGAACAAGGAAGAAGAAACTCCAGCTCTTTTTTCGTGTTTCTCATCTCTCATCCTGTCCCTTCTGTTCTCTTTTCTCCCTGCCCTGGGACTCACCTGCCTCACTTGGACTCTCTCCCCAGTCCCACACCTATGTCAACACACCGGCCAGTGAAGATGACCACCGCAGGGGCCGCCACTGCCTGCAGCCCCTGCCTGAGGGTCAAGCGCCCTTCCTCCCGCAGGCGCGGGGCCCTGACCAACGGGACCCACAGGTGTTCTTACAGCCAGGCCAGGTGAAGTTTGTGTTGGGCCCGACCCCTGCTCGGCGGCACATGGTGAAGTGCCAAGGCCTCTGTCCCAGCCTGCATGACCCCCCCCACCACAATAATAACAACGAGGCCCCTTCCGAGTGCCCAGCCCAGCCCAAGTGCACCTATGAGAACGTCAGCAGCGGACTGCGGCGAGGGGTTGGCTGGAGACTAAGCCCAGAGGAGCCGGGCTGGAATGGCCTTGCCCACCGCCGGGCTGCCCTGCTGCACTATGAGAACCTGCCCCCACTGCCCCCTGTATGGGAGAGCCAAGCCCAGCAGCTGGGAGGGGAGGCTGGGGATGATGGGGACTCGAGGGATGGGCTCACACCCTCCTCCAATGGCTTCCCTGATGGTGAGGAGGACGAGACCCCACTGCAGAAGCCCACCAGCACCCGGGCCGCCATCCGCAGCCACAGCAGCTTTCCTGTGCCACTGACCCGCCGCCGTGGCTCCCCAAGGGTCTTCAACTTTGATTTCCGCCGGCCGGGCCCTGAGCCCCCAAGGCAGCTTAACTACATCCAAGTGGAGCTAAAGAGCTGGGGTGGAGACCGCCCTAAGGGGCCCCAGAACCCCTCGAGCCCCCCAGCCCCCATGCCCACCACCCACCCTGCCCGAAGCTCAGACTCCTACGCCGTGATTGACCTCAAAAAGACCGTGGCCATGTCCAACCTGCAGAGAGCTCTGCCCCGAGACGATGGCACTGCCAGGAAAACCCGGCACAACAGCACCGACCTGCCTCTGTAGGGATGTCCCGGTCCTCACCACCCTCTGCCCCACCACAGTCCAGCCTCTGCCTCACACTCCTGCCCACTGAACCCACCCTCCCCGGGGTTCAGGGTTGCTTTGCAGAAGGCATGGAGGTAAGACCAGGTGCTTCCCTGTGCTGGCTGGAGTGCCCAGAGATACCAGCCACTGAGTCTCCTGGTCTGTCTCTAAGCTGGGGAGAGAAGGGTGACCAGGCGAGGAGGGAGCCGTGACGTCAACTGTGAAGGGTTCCTGTGACTGCGTTTAGCGCCCTCCCGTTCTGTCCATTTGTCTTGTCTGCCGACTGTTTGTGTGTGTGTTTTTTGGTTGGAATTTTGAAACATTTTGTACCTGTTAATTTTATTTATCAGTTTATTTTTCTATTTATTGTTTTAAATGTAATTTAACATATTTATTATTAATATAATTATTTTTAAATTCTGGCCCTGTGGATATCATCTTCTCAGGGAATCTTTTCTGGTTTGGTCCTAGAAAACTTGGCTCAGAGGTGAAAGGGAAACTAATCAAGGTAAGGGCTTCATTCCGGGAAATTTGGGGCAGTTATGGTTTTTGTGACAAGTCCATGATCTTTTTTTTTTTTCCCGAGATGGAGTTTTGCTCTTGTCACCCAGGCTGGAGTGCAGTGATGTAATCTCAGCTCACTGCAACCTCTGCCTCCCGAGTTCAAGCGATTCTTCTACCTCAGCCTCCCGAATAGCTGGGACTACAGGCCCCCCGACACCATGCCCAGCTAATTGTTGCATTTTTAGTAGAGATGGGCTTTTACCATGTTAGCCAGGCTGGTCTCAAACTCCTGACCTCAGATGATCGCCTGGCCTCCCAAAGTACTGGGATTACAGGTGTGAGCCACTGTGCCTGGCCAATCATTTATTTTTCTGCTCCAAGAAGCCCTAGCCCTGAACTTAAAGTTGCCAGGGATGGATGCTCTGTTGACAGAAAGTGGTGGGATGGCTGGAGTCCTGGAAGCCAAAAGGGGGTCTGTGAGGACTGCCCTAATGAGGTAGAGACCAGCCCTCTGAGGCTGGCAACACGCAGGGAGTGCAGTGGAGTGGACACAGCTATGGGAGAGACACACCTTCACCTCTGGGAGCCCTCACCGACATCCCTGCCACTAGGTAGTCCCCAAGGGCACTGCTGTCCTTTACCGCCTTGGCTCAGAGGTTGACCCTGGATCCTTCTTAGCTGCCTCCAGCATGGCTGAGTCAAGACCAGACCTTTAAACAGGACTTTACTAAAATCCTAGGATTATAGTAAAATGAGAAAAACATAGTGTAATGTGTAACTAGATAATCTGGCTTGCTAAGTGTCTTTCCTGAAGAATGTCCCCTCAGGAATGGACTATTTGGATGCCTCCACCCGGCCACAAGGCTGGGCGCTCAGAGCCACCACATTGGAGCACCTGCGTGGAAGCCCAGGGTCCAGCAGGGCTGTGCTGCACACCCGCCCCAGTGCTGATTTGTTCCAGGAGCTCCTTTCTCCGTCCCGAGGCTGCTTCCCTCTTCCTTCTCTTGCTGGCCTCCTTTCCTCCAAGACTCCATTTCTATCTGAAACCCCAGTTGCAGTTCATCTAAAGGAAATCCTGCTTCTGTTATAAGTCACTCAGGGCCCTGGTGAAGAATGAGAGCTGTGTTTGTCCAACCTTGGGGGAAAAGCCTCGTCACTGTTTGTGCCCCAGCTGTTGGCACTATTTGTGCCACAGCTCCCTGTCCTGTGGAGCAAGCAGACCTGGCCTCTTCCTCACCAAGGAAACACGCCCAGGCAAGACACACCACCCAAATCGCTCCCCACCTACTGTCCAGGACACCGCGCCCTGGGCCTCATTTCCTCAAGCCCACCTCCCCTGAGTGGGGGTTGGACTGACAAGATTCCAGACACCGCCGACCGCAGGTGTCACTTTCTGTCAGTGAAATGGACGGTGATGACTGGCCACAACAGGATGTGAGAGACCCTTCGAGTGGGGCCCAGCAGAGCTTGAGGAGGCAGCTGCCACAACCCCAGAATTGGCACCACACTCTTCTCCCCCTTACATCCTTTTCATCTCTGGAGCAGAGGGGCCAGCTGCTGCTGCAAGCTGGATTCATTGCAGTTTTCCACACTGTGGTAGGGAAATGCCATCTTCTCTCTGCAGCTTACCCAATCAGCTCGATTCTGCTGTTTGGATGTTCTCATACACTTACCCCTACTACTACTCGTGACCTCCACAGTAGGGGAAGTGGGTGTCTCCAAACAGGAGGACAGATACAGGGAGCAGGTATAGCTATGCTGAGACCAGGGTTAGGGGTCCTGGCCGTGCTTGTGACTCATGGGTCAGTGCAGGCTCTGCCTTAACAATGGACAGATACTACGGTGGGGTAGCCAGAGGCTGGCTTAAGAGACCCAGGGTCAAGTCCTGACTTGGTCATTATGTCTAAGAGACCCAGGGTCTAGTCCTGACTTGGTCATTATCTCTAAGAGACCCAGGGTCTAGTCCTGATTTGGTCATTATCTCTAAGAGACCCAGGGTCTAGTCCTGATTTGGTCGTTATCTCTAAGAGACCCAGGGTCTAGTCCTGACTTGGTCATTATCTCTAAGAGACCCAGGGTCTAGTCCTGATTTGGTCATTATCTCTAAGAGACCCAGGGTCTAGTCCTGACTTGGTTGTTATCTCTAAGAGACCCAGGGTCTAGTCCTGATTTGGTCATTATCTCTAAGAGACCCAGGGTCTAGTCCTGACTTGGTTGTTATCTCTGCTACCTTAAGCATTTGATTACCCAAATGGGCTCAGTTTTTGCACCTGAAAGACATAGACCTGGTAGGAGAAGTAGCCAGTGATGAACATGACACCACTTTGGAAATAGACAAGACTCCTGCAAGCTGTCTTAACAACCCAACTCTTCCCTTAGAAGTCACAACTCTTCAGTCCCCCAGGCTGTTGATTTGCTGAACGAATCAAGAAGAGGCAGTTATTCTCATTCTCTGGGTCACCAGATCCTGGCCTGACCCCTGGGGTCTCCCTAGAGCAAGTTATAATTGCTTCGATGAGTACGTTTGTGGGGCTTGGGGGTGTCCAAGGAGTTGACTTCCAGCTCAGTGTGGCCCCCAACCTTTCCTGTCCTCTCCCCTGGTCACTGTCTCTGGCCCACAAAGTCTACTACAGGAATTTTCCTCTTGAGGGGAGGGCGGGGTGAGTGGACAGCTTTCTGGCGGGAAGAGGTGGGTGGGAGCAATGCCTAGGAGGGTAACTGCTGCCCCTGTGTTTGAACCCGCCCTGCCATCAGGGTGTGGTGCACAGATGGCATCAGTTTCCATCACCATCATCATCCAAAGATCATCACCAACATCAGTGCATGTTTGCTGAGTGCTGGGTTGTCGTCTTTAGAAACAGGCCCTACCCACCCACCCCTGGGCTGCCCTCAGGAAAGGACAGGACCCAGCATCCTGTCTGGGAGTGACATTTCAGGTCAGACCAGGAGGGGCCCTCCCCAAGGGCCCCCCTGGGTAATAATAGCACTTTACAAGGGTATAAACACAGCTTTCCACAGGACCTTGTCGAATATTTATCTCTATCAGGCCTCACTGGCGGGATGTTATCACCGCTGTACAGGAGGAAACAGGCCAAGAGGTGAAGTAATTTGCCTCAGGCCATGAAGTTAATGAGTGGCTTGGGCCGGGGCTGGAGGCCAGTCGTGTGTCTCCTCCACCCTCTGCTCCCAGCCTGGCCGGAAGGAGCCTTGTTTCTCAGGTGGGCTTCAGGGAGGCTGTGTTGGGTGCTTCTTCCTGGGTTGAGTCTCAGCAGGGGATCACATTCCAGCGCTCCAGTTCAGGAATCATGAAATCCAAGCCAGTACATTTCCCAGTTAACTACAGGGTGAACCTGCTTTCCCCTGGGGCCTGCCCTACGCCCCTCTCCCAACTCTGCCCCTCTACTCTCATTTCCTTAGAAATGACTCCTGGATGTGTCGAGGGGAGGGGCCAGGCAGGTGTGCAAGAAGAGACTTGACTGCCCTTGTCCCTGCCTGCCTCTCTGGAGGGCAAATCAGCCTCATAGGAGGGCCTCAGAGCTTAGGCTTCCTGAGCTCTGCGGTGCTTTCTGACCAATACCTTCAAGGGGCATCATACTCATGGTGGGGGGCTTGCAATGAGGCACCCTTGGGCCTCCAGAAAGGTATAAGGAAGGCTGACGCAAGGATGAGAAGGGCCTGTGTGAACCCTTCAGGGCTCTGTATAGTTCACAGGGTTCAAGATAGAATCTCAGAGCTTGTAGGGCAGCTAAGCTAGGACCCATCCAGGGATTTCTGCAACAGGATTCCTGAAGATGTTTATCTAGTGTTTGCTCACACATTTCCAGGACAGGGAGCTCACTTCCTAACAAGCCCCCACTCAACTCAAGTCATATGAAGTCCCTACAGTTCTTCCCATTGCGTCCTAATTCTGCTCCTGGATCAAAGCATGGCTAAGTCCAGTCTCTCTGCCAAGGGTGCTGAACTTTGAAACTTGGCATCACCACTTACTAGCAACTTGACTTGTGCCCCAGTTTCCCCATCTGTCACACAGGGATAATAGAAGTTCCTCCCTGATGGAATTGCCGTGAGGATCAAACAAGAGAATATCTACCCAGCATGCGCCATGGCGACTGGCCCACAGTAGGTGCTTAGTCAGTGGCAGATGTAATTTTTACCTGAACATGGTGGTGTGTTTTTGTTTTTGTTTTGACACAAAGTTTCATTCTTGTTGCCCAGGCTAGAGTGCAATGGCTCCATTTCGGCTCACTGCAACCTCTGTCTCCCGGATTCAAGTGATTCCCCTGCCTTAGCCTCCCCAGTAGCTGGGATTACAGGCATGTGCCACCACGCCCAGCTAATTTTGTATTTTTAGTAGAACAGGGTTTCTCTATGTTGGTCAGGCTGGTCTCAAACTCCTGTCCTCAGGTGATCCGCCCGCCTCAGCCTCCCAAAGTGCTGGGATTACAGGTGTGAGCCACTGCACCCAGCCCTGAGCATGGTTCTGCCCAGCAAGGCTAGGTGTCTACTGTCTTGTGTTCTAGCTTGACCCAGAACTGAGTGCCCAAGTCAGCAGGAGTATAATGTCTGAATTACCATTTTACTGGCCCTCTTGGCTCTTGGGACCAAAGCTGACCCTGACCTGAAATCACTGGGTCTCCACTTAAACAACCGCAGCATTCCTCACCCCCAATGCCCACTCTGTTGGAGTCCTTGGCTTGTTAAACCAAACTCCAAACTGTCATTAATTCAGGTGACATTTCTTCTTGATGATCGGAGTCTGTTCCAGAATTTAGAGGCACTAAATTGTCTCAAAGACAAGTAAAGAGTAGAGACAGATGGCTGAGGGTGTCTGAGAGAAGGGTCTGGCAGGAGGGTCTCCACTGGGGGTGGATCATGAGGCGGGAGTACCAGGGGCCCTCAGCCAGGTGCTTCCAGGAACTTGGTTCTGTGAGCCACCCTGACAAGGAGGTCTTCTCGTCATTTGTCTTTTTTTTTTTTTTTTTTTGAGACAGAGTCTCTCCGTCACCTAGGCTAGAGTGCAATGGCACGATCTCAGCTCACTGAAACCTCTGTCTCCCGGGTTCAATCAATTCTGGTGCCTCAGCCTCCAAGTAGCTGGGACTAGTGCACCAACCACGCCCGACAGGGTTTCACCGTGTTGATCAGGCTGGTCTTGAACTCCTGACCTCAGGTGAGCCACCTGCCTCAGCCTCAAAAAGTGCTGGGTTTACAGGTGTGAGCCACTGCTCCCATCCATGCCACTTGTCTTGCTTCACCAGGTGAATCCCTTTCTGGGTCTCCCTGGGCTCCAGTTTCTCCAGGGATAGTCATTCCTTGCAGAGCTGCCTATGGAGAGGAGCTGGATGAGTGACACAGGCAAGTGAGAGCATCACCTGCACTCCAAGTGCAGGTTGTCATTAGGCTCACTTAAAAGTGATCCCTTAAAGAAGGGATCATTAGTATAATGACTGAGTTAATGGGGAGGCAGGGAACCCTTAGCCCCTCTGATGAAGGGGAGTGTCCGCAGCTGTCTTCTTCTCCCTGCACTCTACCCCCTTAGCTGGAAAGACATGATTCTTTTGGGGTCCCTCCATGTTGCCTCCCTCCACCTGCCCCCGCTTCAACCTGGCCTCCTTGCCCTTTAGGTAACAGCCACCCAGAAAAAGTGTGTGGGGTGATAAGATGGAGAATTGGGGGCTCTGGCCCTCTGGGGAAAATTAATGTAAATTGTAATTAAATTTTTCATCTTGACTGTGTGCTACCTGGGCTGGAGAGAGTTGGTGGCGCATCTGGGGGGCTGGGGAGGAGGTGGGAGCAGCAATGGCAGGTGGGGTGCAGGACATCAGGCTGAGGGGTGCGTGGTGGGGAAGAGTTACCAGCGATCCTTTGAGGCTCCTTGTCTCTCTGGTCCAATGAGCTGGTGTGGCCACTTTCCCCAATGAGCTCCTGTCCCTGGGATTAAATAGTTTGAGGAACATATCATTTTTTCTCATGAGGGTAGGGGAGGGGGGACACAATGTATAGTCACACAAGTATAGTGGCTTTGATTTCCCAAACACTGGACACAATGAGCCCAGGATTCAAAATCTGGGTTGTGTGGGCTGAGTTCAGACAAAGCTCTGACTCGGCCGGGTACAGTGGCTCACGCCTGTAATCTCAGCACTGTGGGTGGCCGAGGTGAGTGGATCACCTGAGGTCAGGAGTTCAAGACCAGCCTGGACAACATGGTGAAACCCTGTCTCTACTAAAAATGCAAAAATTAGCCAGGTGTGGTGGCACACCCCTGTAATTCCAGCTACTTGGGAGGCTGAGGTGGGAGAATTGCTTGAGTCCAGGAGTTGGAGGCTGCAGTGAACCAAGATCACTCCACTATACTCCAGCCTGAGCAACAGAGCAAAACCCCACCTCAAAAAAAAAAAAAAAAAAAAAAAAAAGGCTGTGCCCCCTCCCCAAAGTTTGCAGTCTTAGTTGGGGGGGAATGAGGATCACACCAGACAGGATTATGGGGCATGTGCCTATGCCGTTTGGTAGCTATGTGACCTCAGACAGATCACTCAACCTCTCTGAACCTATTTCCTCATCTATTAAAGGGAACTAATGACTTACCCCATGGTGTTGCTAGGAGTTCAATAGGAAAACATACATAAAGCATTCAATGGGTACTTGGCACAGAGTCCAAGCTTAGCTTTGTTATGGTTGCCACAGTAATAAGCGATGTGGGGAAGCTTCCTGAAGAGGTGGACCATGAGCATGAGGAGGACCTGGGGACCAAGAGGGCAGTGTGGGCTTAGCAGTTAGCTGGGTGGGAGGGCAGTTGGCAGGGGAAGGACTGGGCTGCTGGGAGGAGAGAAGCAGAGGGGGCGTGAGTTGGGAGGGCTAGGTTAGGGGTGGTCAGGGAAGGTGGGGGTGACTATACTTTCCGGGCTATGGAACGGCGGGCTGTGCCCCTGCATGTGGGGTGCACCGGCCACGCTGTGGATTGCGAGGAAGTGTGGCTCAGACCAGGTACGGTCATTCACTCACCACTAACCCAACACATATTTTTGTTTTTTAATTTTCTTTTTTTTTGAGAGAGTCTTGTTCTTTCACCCAGACTGGAGTACAGTGCTCCATCTCAGCTCACTGCAGCCTCTGCCTCCTGGGTTCAAGTGATTCTCCTGCTTCAGCTGGGATTACAGGCACCCACCACCACGGCCAGCTAATTTTTGTATTTTTGGTAGAGATGGGGTTTCACCATGTTGGCCGGGCTGGTATCAAATTCCTGATCTCAGGTGACCCGCCCGCCTCAGCCTCCCAAAGCGCTGGGATGGCAAGCGTGAGCCACCATGCCTGGCCTAATTTTTTCTTTTTAAAAAATCTTCAGGCTGGGCGCGGTGGCTCAAGCCTGTAATCCCAGCACTTTGGGAGGCCGAGGCGGGTGGATCACGAAGTCAAGAGATCGAGACCATCCTGGTCAACATGGTGAAACCCCGTCTCTACTAAAAATACAAAAACATTAGCTGGGCATGGTGGTGCGTGCCTGTAATCCCAGCTACTCAGGAGGCTGAGGCAAGAGAATTGCCTGAACCCAGGAGGCGGAGGTTGCGGTGAGCCGAGATCGCGCCATTGCACTCCAGCCTGGGTAACATGAGTGAAACTCTGTCTCAAAAAAAAAAAAAAGAAAGAAAGAAAAATCTTCATCAGACCCTGTCTCCTATTCATAACCAACACATAGTTATGGAAAGCCTGCTAACATGCTAGGCACTGTGCTGGGTGCTGGGGACGGAGCAGCAGAGAGGACAGATACAGCCCATGCCCCCATGAACTTACATTCTTCTGACGGTGAGGTGATTAACTGGCAAGTATTAACACCTTAAGTTTAGGGAAGAGATAACTTTAAAGAAAGTTTAAAAGGAAGCCAGATGTGGTGGCTCCTGCTTGTAATCCCAGTGACTTGGGAGGCCAAGGTGGGAGGATCACATTAAACTAGAAGTTTGAGACCAGCCTGGGTACTATAGCGAGACCTCCATCTCTAAAATGTATATATATGTAATTGAGAAAGGGTCTCACTCTGTTGCCCAGGCTGGAGAACAGTGGCAGGATCGCAGTGCACTGCAACCTCTGCCTCCCAGGTTCAAGCGATTCTCCTGCCTCAGCCCCAAAGTAGCTGGGATTACAGGTGTGAACTATGCCAGGCTAATTTTTGTATTTTTTGTAGAGATGGGATTTCACCAGGTTGGCCAGGCTGGTCTTGAACTCCTGACTTCAAGGGATCCACCTGCCTCGGCCTCCCAAAGTGTTGGGATTACAGGCGTGAGCCACCATGCCTGAACTTCAAAAATATTTTTTAGGGCTGGGTGTGGTGGCTCATACCTATAATCCCAGTATTTTGGGAGGCCAAGGCAGACAGATCACCTGAGGTCAGGAATTCAAGACCAGCCTGACCAACAGAGAGAAACCCTGTCTCTACTAAAAATACAAAATTAGCTAGGGGTGGTGGCACATACCTGTAGTCCCAGCTATTCCAGAGGATGAGGCAGGAGAATCACTTGAAACCTGGAGGCGGAGATCACAGTGAGCAGAGATCGTGCCACTGCACTCCAGCCTGATGACAGAGCGAGACTCCGTCTCAAAAAAAAAAAAAAAATTGTTTTTTTAAAAAGAGGCTGGGTTTGGTGGCTGATACCTGTAATCCCAGCACTTAGGGAGGCCGAAACAAGAGGTTCACTTAAGCTCAGGAGTTCAAGATGAGTCTGGGTGGCAAAGCAAAACCTCATCTCTACTAAAATAAAAAAAATATGTTAGCTGGGTGTAGTGGCGTGCTCCTGTGGTTCCAGCTACTCAGGAAGCTGAGGCAGGAGGATGGCTTGAGCCCAGGAGATTAAGGCTGCAGTAAGCTGTGTTCACACCGTGGCACTCCAGCCTGGGCACAGGGGGAAACCCTGTCTCAAAGAATAAAGAGAAAAAAGAAAAATGCACAAGGGGTAATGTGATCGATTGTCGGGGATAGGCATGTTAAGGAAGACCTCTCTGGGGAGGTGACATGGAAGCAGAGATTTGAGTGCAAGACAAAGGCCGAATGAACAGCTGAGGGAAGGGAGTTCCAAGCAGAGGGATGGTGAGTGCAAAGGCATGATAGGGGGAATGTGCTGGATGGGTTCAAGGAAAAGCAAAAGGGTCAAAGGAGGCCAGTGCAGCTGTCGGAGGGAAGAAACGGAGTAAGCTGGGGATGATGGCATAAGGAGGATTCAGGACACAAGAACCTGGAGGAGGCATGCAGATTTTACTTTAAGGGCAGCAGGAAGCTATTGGAGGGTTCTGAGCAGATGAGAGCCAGCTTATTTTTTTGTTTTTTTGTTTGTTTTGAGACAGAGTCTCATTCTTGTCACCCAGGCTGGAGTGCAGTGGTGTGATCTCAGCTCACCGCAACCTCCGCCTCCTGGGTTCAAGCGATTCTCCTGCCTAAGCCTCCCGAGTAGCTGGAATTACAGGCACCTGCCACCACGCCCGGCTAATTTTTGTGTTTTTAGTAGAGATGGGGTTTCGCCATGTTGGCCAGGCTGATCTCAAATTCCTGACCTCAGGTGATCTGCCTGCCTTGGCCTCCCAAAGTGCTGAGATTACAGGCGTGCCCAGCCCCAGCTTAGGTTTTAACAGAATGGTTCTGGCTGCTGTGCAGAGACCAGAGACCAGGGAAAGAGCAGTGGAAGTGGGAGGTGGTATGAACTGAATGTTTGTCTCCCCCAAAATCCGTATTTTGTAATCCTTAGTGACCCCCCAATGTGATGTCGTTGGAAGGTGGGGCCTTTGCAAGGTAACTGGGATGTGAGGGTGGAGCCCTCCTGAATGGGATCCATGCTCCTATAAGAAGAGACACGACAGAGATGCTCTGTCTGCTCTCCTCCACATGAAGATACGAGAACATGGCCACCTGCAAACAAGGAAGAGGGCACTCACCAGACACCAGATCGGCTGGCACCTTGATCTCAGACTTCCCAGCTTCCGGAACTGTGAGAAATAAATGTTTATTGTTTAAGCATCCCAGTACTTGGTAATTTGCTACAGCAGTCCAAACTAGGATAGAGCCTACTGCTATAATCTAGAGAGGGATTATGGTGGCTTGGCATTGGTTGGTGGCAGTGGAAAAGGAGAGAGGTGGACAGATTTGGGATGTATTCTGGAGGTGGACCGAACAGGGAATTGACAATCGAAATCCTGGTTGATTGGTAGGGGAATATGGGAACAGGAAAAAGAGGATTAAGGAGGACTCTGAGGTTTGGGGTCTGACAACTGGAAGAAGAGACAACTTTCACTGAAATGGGAAAGGAATTTGGGGTAAGAGGGATGATATGAGCTGGAGGCCTAGGGACAGGTCCCTGGACACTGTGACCCATCCCTGGAGCCAGAGACCGCAGAGCAGGGTTCTTCAGCCACCACCAACTCAGAGCTGAGGTCTCCACCATCCCGCACTCCTGGGGGCCAGGTCAGGCCTTGTGGAGACCCCTCCTCACTGCTCCTGTCCCTGTGATTTGGCCCCTGCTGTCTGTTGGACCTGTGACCAAGGGTGACCTGGATGCCAAGCCCCACCACACCCCTGGGGCTTTGGGATATGTGGCAGCAGTGCTGTGGGCAGAAGGGCATATTCATGTCCAGAGCAGGTCTGGGGGAGTCAGCGGAGAGAGCACAGTAGAAGTGAGACAGACTCCCTGGAGGACAAGCCCCTGGGGCCTCAGGCCTAGCATGAGGCAACAGTGCCACA